ACGGATCCTCAAATCCGACCTCCAAACACACAGGTTTCGGAATCCATACCACACAACCAACTAAAACCACACAATCCTTCCGACTCCCAAACAACCAATCAATATTCACGGCAGAACTAATGGGCATGGCCTCAGCCCTCCATAATCAAGAATCCAAAAAACACAAAAAAAATCCTGCAAGCCCTCCAAAACAAAAATACCAAAAACCGACCTAAATTAATAAATCAAATACTTAAATGCTCCAACGACCTAACTAAGGCAGGCAAACAAATAACCTTCTTGTGGATACCCGTCCACGTAGGAATATACGGTAACGAAAACGCCGATAAAGCAGCTAAACTATCCCTCAAAATCCCAGAAATAAGCTTAAACTTACCCATCTCAAAATCAGAAATTAAAAGTGTAAACAAGCAAAAACTCACACAAAAAATGGCATAACATATATCTAAACTCAAATAGCCAAATCAAAAAAGTGCTCAGCAAACCACTAACCAAACCCAAAATTCTCCATCCATCGAAAAAAATCGACAGAGTAATCACTAAACTCCAAACAGGACACACCAACCTAAATAACCACCTAAAAAATTTAAAAAAACACACTACAGGTAACTGCCCACACTGCAAACAACCAGAAACCCCAGAACACGCACTCATCCACTGCACACACTACCTAACACATCGAACCGCATTACAAACCACCCTCAATCTAAACAAGGCTCTAACTCTAGAAGCAATACTAAACCCACAAAATAAACTAGAAAACTTCAAGGCCTTAGGCGTATTCTTAATCAAAACGGAACTAATAAAACGCATCTAAAAACACAATAACCTACCAAATCAAAATCACATAAACAAACAAACATGCACAATACCCAGCTCCCTTAGTTCTCCTCCCCAATCCCATCGGCATCTATTCCAAATCTCAAAATTCCCAAATTCTATATAAGCAACCCCTAAAACCCCCCTCTTGGGTTGCACAGACCACCTTCGCCCCTTTCGGAAACACATTAAATGGCCTGGCCGGGCCCGTGTGCGAAATACGCATCAGTCGGAAAGCGCACGTTAAATCTCCAAAGTAAGTAAGTAAGTAAGTTGACTCTCTTACCAAGCAGACCTCTCTCCCACAGCCCAGAGTGTGTACCGACTCTCTGTGGCACCCTCAGTTATTATCTAAGTATAAATTGTAAATTGTTAATTGTTCTTGTAAATAAAATTGTGACTAGTCTCCTGTGACTCCGGCTCTTTGCTGACTAATTCCCCAAGAAAACCAGCACGTCATTTGGAAGGTATTGTTCACCCAGAACAGTTCTATGATAATTTGGCGGAGAATCATCGTTTTCGGAACCACGGAGTCTAGGAACTAACCACAACCAGCTACAAGAACCCATTGGAGGACATGTCCAACCAAGATCATCTGATGGAATAACAAGCAAGCTGCATCTACCTCTGACCTCAACACTGGATTAAAGACAACCAACTCCTCCAAAGACACCAACAAAGGAAGAAAAAGTCTTCAAATATTGTAAGTACTACATTGTTGATTACTTGTCTTTCTTTCATTTAGTACGGTACATACTAATAGGTGTCATGGCAAATATGGAGTCTGGTATGGAAAGTAACTTTGAAAGTGATATTCCAACAATGTCTTTAGTTACGCCCCTTGCCAAAAGTGTAATTCAGGCAAAATTTGGTACAAAAACAACAAATTGTTTAGTAGATACAGGGGCATCCATTTGTTGTATTTCGTCTGCTTTTCTGAGCACAGCTTTTGAAAACCTTACTCTTGGAAACTCACCCTTTCCACAGGTTAAAGGTGTTGGTGGCGAATTGCATAAAGTGTTAGGTTCAGTTGTGTTAGATTTTGTCATTGAGGATCAGGAATTTTCTCAAAGATTCTATGTTCTGCCTACACTACCAGAAGCAGTGATACTAGGTGAGAACTTCCTTGATGACAATGATGTAGTCGTAGATTATAGCTGTCATTCCTTGATACTTAACAACAGCACCTCAGACAGGCAATATATCAATTTCATAGCCAATTCAGTACAAGAGATTAGTGGATTAGCAAAAACAATAGATCAGATTTACATCCCCCCTCAGAGTGAAATTCATTTCAAGGTTAGACTATCAGAGACCAAAGAGGACTCCCTCATCCTCATTGAACCCATTGCTTCCCTCACTGCTCATTCTGAAGTAGCAGGTGGTAGAACTCTTTCCAAAGTGAAAAGCAAAACTGCTACATTTAGGCTTATGAATCCCTCCCAAGAAGAAAAGGTTCTTGACAAGGGTACAGTTGTAGGCAAATTTAGTTACACTGACAAAGACTCTGTTTTTGAAATCGACTCTGACCAACCATTCATCAGTACCGTTAACACAAACAATGAGAAGAGAGACAATGACACCAGGGATTATGTTAAAATTGCACAAGAGTTAGGATTTGATTTGACCAATACACAACTGACTCTAGACCAACGACACAGACTACTTAGATTTTTGGGACAAAATAGAAACATGTTTTCAACGAGTCTTGCAGATTTAGGTAAGACTGACATGCACAAACATATCATTGATACTGGCAACCACCAACCCGTTAAGAGTAGACCATCTCGTCAAATTCTCCACTTTGTTTTCAACAGCTCATGAGCAAAGTGCTACGAAAATCGTTTTTAAGGTCTACATTGAAGATTTGATAATTTACAGCAAAAACTTTGAAGAGCATCTCCAACATTTGGAGCAAGTATTTTACTATCTGAAACAGGCAAAATCAACACTAAAGCCATCCAAATGCAATTTTGCAACGGACAAAGTTTCTTTTCTGGGTCATGTTTTATCATGTGGAGGTGTTCAAGTTGATGACAAAAAAATTGAAGCAATTAGAACCTTTCCAGTGCCCAAATCACAAAAGCAGATTCGCTCCTTCTTAGGTCTCACAAACTTCTACAGGAAATATGTGAAAAATTACGCTCACATAGCAGTTCCACTGAATGCTTTGCTAAAGAAGCATTCAGAGTCAGAAGTAGGAAAGAAACCAAAGTTCCAATGGTCACTTGAGTGTGATCAGGCATTCAACACACTCAAACATGCTATGAGTAATACACCTGTTCTGGCTTATCCAAATTTTGACAAAGAATTTCTTCTCGCAACTGATGCCAGTGATATGAGCATAGGTTTTGTTTATCATTAGGTAAAATGCATATATAAAATATCAGTAGTTTCAGTTAAAGCTCTTTAGATGGTTGCTAGCCTAAGGTAATGGGAGCGCGTCTTCTAGACATACTATTCAATAAGACAAGAGTTACGTCTACATAGTTTAAATGATTGAAGCTTTTAGATCCTTTCGTCTATACCTTGCAAATTCCAAATTCACAGTCTACACTGATCATATAGCATTGAAATGGCTGAAATCCATCAAGGACGCCACAGGTAGGTTAGGACGATGGTCTTTTTTGAACTTTCTACCTACACTTTTGACATTGTTCACCGCAGCGGCAAAGCCAATGGGAATGCCGATGCTCTCTCACATAGGGAATATGAGGAAAATATTAACTGTAATGATCAGACAGAAGAAGATGCTGAGAAAACAGTCTTCTCAGTAACTTCAACTCAGCAAAGCAAATCAACTAGCAGTACCACAATCTTGCCAAACACCCATTCATCCACACAGGTCACACAGACAACTCAGACTGAGGATATTTGCACACCTATTGTCAATCACTTAGAATCAGACACACAGACAACACATTGGTCAGTCACCTTTGAATATGAAGAGGATTATCAGTCAGTACCAGTTAATGTTGTCGCAGCATTACATGCTACAAATGCTGATGTTACCCAAGACACATTGGTTGAAGTAAGTATAAAAGAACATCCAAATTTACGTCACCTACAAAGGATTTGTCCAGATTTCATCCAAATCTTTGACTACAAAGAGGATGATGTCCTTCCACGAAATGAAAAGGATCGTCAAAAGATTCTTATCGAAGCCAATACTTTTGAAATTGATGAAGGCATCCTATACAGATTCGTTCCACAAAGACAGAAAGGCCATGCAGACAAGTTCATTAAACAGCTGGCAGTCCCAAGAACCCTCAGAAATCAAGTCCTGCAATCCTATCATGACTCAGAGTTTGGTGGTTGCCACCATGGGAAAGAAGGGATGCACAACACCGTGAGACCTAAGTACTACTGGCCCAAAATGTACAGCAATATTGCTACTTATGTCCAGTCGTGTGAAGTATGTCAACAGACCAAGAGGCACTACCATGGCAAGAAGGCACCACTCCGTCCACTACCTGTAGAAGAGGTCTTCACCCGATGGCACGTTGACATTCTCGGTCCCCTGCCAACAACACCAGATAAGTACAAGTACATTTTGGTCATCACAAATGCATCATCTAGATGGTGTGAAGCCTTTCCACTTCGGACCCAAGAAGCCAAAGAAGTAGCAGATGTTCTCGTCAGAGAAATATTTTGTCGGTATGGCGCTCTAAGGACCTTAATTTCAGACAGAGGTCAGAACTTCATGTCCAAACTTATCAAAGCAATTTGTGAACTTTTGGCAATTAAAGGGATGTAGCATTAATTCCAAAAGAAAATTTAGGCCACAATAACAAAAGTTATCTTTCAAATTTACTTGAGGAGCTGAAAATCACTAGAACAATTGCAGCTGAAAACACTGCGCGGGCTAAGGAGATGTATTCAGAACAATATAATAGAAAGGCTAAAGAACCAGAATTCGCCCCAGGTCAAAGAGTTTGGCTTTATTGTCAAAAAGTTGAAAAGGCCTTTCCAACAAATTAACCAAAAAGTGGTATGGTAGCTATTATATCATCCATACAGGTCCAAATTATACCTACAAACTACGCCGAAGTTCTGACGACAAAATACACAAACCACTGGTCCATGCCAACCGTCTGAAGCCATATTTTGATCCTGCTGATCTTCCACAGTATCCTCCAGAACCATACCTCAATGACACCAGTAACATAGATTCAGGAGTCATGTATGACAACGAGGAACCAGTCAATGATACTCAGCTTGACAGCAACAATTCCCCATCAACAAGTTCAACTTACCAGGCTACTGATCAATCACCTCCACAACAGAAAGGTAAGAAGGTCAATTCCAAAACAAAGGCAGGTACTTCCAGCAACAAGAGTCCGAAGCAAAAGACCCCAACAAAGAAGAAAAAACCCTGCTCCAAGTACAACAGAAAAACCTGCCAGTCCCAATACAACAATGACGAAGGAAAATCATGCTCCAACCAACCTAAATGAAAAAGTAAACAAAGGGAAAAGAGGAGTGAATAGTAAGTATCACCAGCCAAAATCCAGAAAACAACTTGATGACGGCCAGGCACAACCTCCAAGTCAGAGTCCAACATCAGGTAATCAAACCAAGGATATCCCTCCTATTTTCAATCCAAAGGACATCCACTCAATTGTAAGTTCTAAGAGAGCAAATGGCAAAATCTACTACAGAGTGAAATGGAAGGATCCAGAAAGGGGAAACACATGGGAGTATGGCAGCAGCATTCCAGACTCCATTCGGAGAGAATTTCACCTCAAAAGAAGTATGTCAGGAAAACGACGAAAACGTCCACTGAAGAATCATAAGTTTTTCGACCAAAAGGAATCAGCACAAGACAATAAATCAGTCAATGTTCTGTCAGGGAATACAATGTCAGGAAATGTCAAGCAAGACAACACCAAACCATGCATAGAATTAGATGTCAAACCACATCCGTTTTTTTCCCAAACACCTACGAAGAGTAGAACATAAAATAGAAAGAGTTCTGGGCATTGAAATTATTCAAGGAGACTGCTATGTCAAGGTCTCATATAAAGAATATCCTGATACTGTCCACACATGCTATTTTGAAAATGTTCCTCCCCACCTCATACAGCGCTACCTTGATGATAGCTGGAAGGATCTCCGTAATTGGTCCCGTCTAGAAGATAATCCTCCATATGATCCAGAGGAAGCACCAATTTATAAATCCAAAAGGGTTATTTTTCCACATAAAGACTTTGGAAACATCAACACCTTTTTCTACCGTATTTTAGACAGTAGTCCCCATGGACCATACCAGGATCAACCTGTCATATATACCGACAGCTGCCAATTAAACATATTCTTGATCAAAATACAAAATCTCCTGAATAAACGGTGCAAATCACGAAACAGCTATTAGCTGTATCTTGTTTTTTCTTGTGTCCAGTCTTTTCACTATGGGTCGCCAGTTGAGAACAAATGGCATCAGCCTGATCATCTGAGTTATTTGTATCACAACAAATTTTGAGCATTGACCTGATCAACCAATCTCAAAAGCGAAGTGAAATACAAAATCTCCTGAATAAACGGTGCAAATCACGAAACAGCTATTAGCTGTATCTTGTTATGTTTTCTTGTGTCCAGTCTTTTCACTATGGGTCGCCAGTTGAGAACAAATGGCATCAGCCTGATCATCTGAGTTATTTGTATCACAACAAATTTTCAGCATTGACCTGATCAACCAATCTCAAAAGCGAAGTGAAATGACACAAAGCAAACCATACTGCGAATCCAACCCAAACCGTACCGAATCGAAGCAAACCATACTGCGAATCCAACCCAAACCGTACCGAAGCGAAGCAAACCCTACTGCGAATCCAACCCAAACCGTACCGAAGCAAAGCAAACCATACTGCGAATCGAACCCAAACCGTACCGAAGCGAAGCAAACCATACTGCGAATCAAACCCAAACCGTACCGAAGCGAAGCAAACCATACTGCGAATCGAACCCAAACCGTACCGAAGCGAAGCAAACCATACTGCGAATCGAACCCAAACCGTACCGAAGCGAAGCAAACCATACTGCGAATCCAACCCAAACCGTACCGAAGCTAAGCAAACCATACTGCGAATCGAACCCAAACCATACCGAAGCGAAGCAAACCCTACTGCGAATCGAACCCAAACCGTACCGAAGCGAAGCGAAGCGAAGCAAACCGTACCGAAGCGAAGCGAAGCAAACCGTACCGAAGCAAAATAAACCAAACCCTATCGCATTGAACCGAACGAAAATCAAAGCGAAACAAACCAAATTCAAATAAAGCAAACTTAACAACCGAAATGAACCAAAACAAAGAAAAGGCAAACCAAATAGTTACGAAAACTAACAATGAATTCTAAAAAGGATATACAACTTTCTAACACCTTTTGTATACCGAATTAATGTAACAAATCAATGCACTTGTTATATGCACATGCACATATATGTATATATAATGCGTCTAATGATTGTATCCAAAAGTAGAAGGATATTACTATTTTTTTCATGATATACTTTTGTAATTTGCCGCCAATGCATTCTTCCTGGTCATGACACCGTTTAGTAATAATTATGTACTGATCTTTTACATCATAATTATCATATTTGTTTTATTTTCTAGTTATTACAGACAAACTGAGGAAGTATTTATATATGACATATTATTTGAACATGCCAACTCTCTTTTCTTTGTTTCCATGTAAAACCTCCATGGTCACAGCCTACTATCTTACAACCCCAATCCAGGATGTGGAACTCAAGGCCTCCTACATCACCCATAAAACCACCAGTACAGAGTGCCAAGACAAGCCAGCTCCACATCCAGAATCCCTGATGACAGCATTTTTATATTATGTTTCCTTATATCAAAGAGACTCTATAATAATTATTATTCACTACTACCAGTTTAACTTTATACATTGTCCATCTAAGCCTTAATTATTTTTATTTTACACGTTTGGGGTCCAAACTTTTTCAGACGGAGGGGAAGTTATCATGGGATAACATTTATACTAAGTTATCTTATAATAATTAGATCTACATCAAGTGCTTTTATGAGTTATCATGGCGTAATATTTATACATCATTTCATATAATCATAGTTTAGCAAGTAATAATTATCATTAGGTAAAATGCATATATAAAATATCAGTAGTTTCAGTTAAAGCTTTTCAGATGGTTGCCAGCCTAAGGTAATGGGAGCGTGTCTTCTAGACATACTATTCAATAAGACAAGAGTTACGTCTACATAGTTTAATTGATTTGAAGCTTTAAGATAAATGCTAGCCTAAGGTATCAAGATTCCCATCTCCCAGACAAAGGATATTTATTTAAGTATATCTGTCATCACCTACCGGGGTATATTAGAATAACATTACTTCAATTAAGACTCATTAAGGATTAGCCCCCATACAAGCTCGTCTATAGGGCATTAAGGATTAGCCCCCACACAAGCTCATCTATAGTGACACCCTAATCTCTTTCAAAGCATCCAGTAAATATGTCAACAAGATTAGTGCCAGTCCAACAGGATAAACAGGATTTAGTATTCCCCTCTGTCTAGCCATCCATTTAGCTTAGGACAAAACCAATCGTGTATCAACCAATCACATTCCTTTTTATTGTTTAATTTTTGTTAAATACATACTGTAGGCAGGTTTTAAGCAGAGAAGGGGTTTGACTCTCTTACCAAGCAGACCTCTCTCCCACAGCCCAGAGTGTGTACCGACTCTCTGTGGCACCCTCAGTTATTATCTAAGTATAAATTGTAAATTGTTAATTGTTCTTGTAAATAAAATTGTGACTAGTCTCCTGTGACTCCGGCTCTTTGCTGACTAATTCCCCAAGAAAACCAGCACGTCATTTGGAAGGTATTGTTCACCCAGAACAGTTCCATGATAGTACACTAAATTTAGAAGTTGTGGTGGGATGTCCTATGAAGTGTGTACCAAGTTGTACAATACCCTTATCAAGCCTGTTTTGTTCTATGGAGCTGGTATATGGGGAAATTAACAAATACAGGGAGGTGCAAGTCATCTAAAACAAAGCTTGTAGATTTTTTCTAGGAACCGGTCAAAATGCATCCAACTTGGCGATTCGCAGCGATATGGGATGGTCATCAAGTGATGTGGATCAAAAGATAGAATTATTTAGACAATTCTTCAGATGTGAATCAATGCCAAATAGCAGAATTCCAAATATTATTCATAGGTGGGCAATGTATCAAAGTAAATCTCTTGATAAAAGAAATGAAATGCTGATACGAGACTTAAATGTGGATGGGATTATCAGTGACAGTGACAATAACAAGAAAAAAGTGAACTTACTGAAGGATATCTTAAAGAGAAAGATAGTGAATCATGGTGTAAACAAGTGTGGGATGATGAGAACAAACCAAATGGTAACAAGCTAAGGACTTTCAGACTTTTCAAATTTGATGTGAATGTGAGCCACTATGTGAAATGTGTGAAGCGAAGGGATTATCGAAGTGTTTTATCTAAGTTTAGGTGTGGTAACCTCCCTCTATTTGTCTGAACAGGCCGCTATTCCAAGCCACCTATTCCTTTAAATGATAGAATATGTAAATTTAGTGCAGAAAAAAATAATTATGTTATTGAGGAAGAATCACACTTTTTAATAGATTGTTTTGTATACAGTGACCTGAGATATCAACTACTACACAAGGCACCTGAATTAAATCAGGACTTTTATTATTTTAATAGCATTCAGCAATTATCTTATTTGATGCAAGAAGTGATTTTACAGCCGCTTTTAGCAATCACATTATACAGCATGAATAGAAGGAGAGTGCATCTCTTCTAGTCTTAGCATTGTATATAATATTTTTATTTTGAGTTTTATATTTAATAATGTTATATGTTTTAAATGCTTTTAGAGTGTCTCATAAGCCCTAGAGGCTGGATATTGTACTTTTAATGGCAACTTGCTTTTGTTTAAAATGTGTTTTATGTACAATATGTGACACTTAAATAAACATTTCTTCTTCTTCTTCTTCGAATGCTGTATTGCCACCAGACAAGCCAGATTCAGAGCCTGGAACATCCGATGCCGTATTGCCACCAGACAAGCCAGATTCAGAGCCTGGAACATCCGATGCCGTATTGCCACCAGACAAGCCAGATTCAGAGCCTGGAACATCCGATGTAGTATTGCCACCAGACAAGCCAGATTCAGAGCCTGGAACATCCGATGCAGTATTGCCACCAGACAAGCCAGATTCAGAGCCTGGAACATCCGATGCCGTATTGCCACCAGACAAGCCAGATTCAGAGCCTTGAACGCCCGATGCCGTATTGCCACCAGACAAGCCAGATTCAGAGCCTGGAACGCCCGATGCAGTATTGCTGCCCAGACAAGCCAGATTCAGAGCCTGGAACATCACATGTCGTATTGCCACCAGACAAGCCAGATTCAGAGCCTGGAACATCCGAATTCAGTATTGCCACCAGACAAGCCAGATTCAGAGCCTGGAACATCCGATTCAGTATTGCCACCAGACAAGCTAGATTCAGAGCCTGGAACATCCGATGCAGTATTGCCACCAGACAAGCCAGATTCAGAGCCTATTGTATTGTAGAGCGAGGTTACCTGTACATTGAATTTGGAACCGAACGCGAATGTTAAATTTAGCACGGTTAAATCTCCATTCTACGCGAATTCTTTGGTGCGAGCAAATATTTTGAGAAGCGGCATAGGTTGAGTCAAGTGTTTTGAGTGGGTTGTCGATGAGGATTACGGATTCACCGACAACAGTCTTTAAAACTATGGCGCTGTATATGCTCAGACAGTTTGTTTACACCGTAATACTTCACTCGAACATGTGAAAGGCATTGGCAGCATATAAGCACGGCAACTTTGAAAGCTAACATGAGGTGGGCACCCCTAAAGAAAACTAAGCAAGCTTTGCAAAGCTTTCGTTCTACACAGAATGTAACCATTATGACGTCATATCGCTCATTGTGACGCCACAGTCGTATATAGAAAAGCGCCATATTCCAAGCTCTCTCGTCCCTGAAAATACATCTCTTTGTTGATTTCTATCGTTTTTTGCTGCACGAAATGTATTGCCACACATCCTTTGAATTTTGTAGTAACAGTAACTTTGCAATTTGTAAGGTATAATTGTAGGTATAATTATTTAAATACGCCTACCGACAATGATTGAAAAAAAAATCTATTCTATGAATATCAGCTTCTGCGGTGATGCGGCCGTCAAACCAGCTGTTTTAATCAGAGGGGGTTTATTGTGATTTAATAGCCTCAGATTGACCAATCAGAATGAAGTAATTTTCCAAATTCGTGGAAGAATGCTTATTACTGTCTACAAACTGAAAAGGTTGGAACAATGATGTTGGATGATAAATAAAATCTCACCCTCGTGTCTTTTGATATCAAATATATCAAGCCTGAGAGTTTTTCCATTTTTATCAACTCGTGTTGATATATTTGATGTCAAAACATATGAGGGTGAGATTCTTTATATATATCATTAAAAGGATTGAGCGGCAATGTATACACATATATAACTTTTGGAGGGTAGAGGGTGGAGTGTCTGACGGTGACATGGAAGCAAAATTGGCCACATTGCTAGACATAGTGGAGGGGTGTTCTGCTACCTAAACTCGTGTGTATGGTTCTGCCACTAATTGGTCTCCATCAAAGAAGTTCCCGAGTTGTTAATGTGGCAGTTTGGTATCGATTCTGTAGATGCACCAACCGATTATGCTTGTCTTGTTAACGTGATGTCATATGTGGACGACCAACGGAATATGCTTGTCACGTGACGTCATATGTGGACGACCAACGGAATATGCTTGTCTTGTAACGTGACGTCATATGTGGACGACCAACCGAATATGCTTGTCTTGTTAACGTGACGTCACCCATGGACGAGTCATTAGTGTTGCCCTGCTGCGGATGTCTCCAAAGAGATGTGTTTCAATGAACATTAAAATGCCTGGCAACTTGGTCTTGTGCCATTCATGTGTGCCACATACCCACCCTGCAGAGACATTGATTTTCAGCAACTTTTTGCATTGCGTTATTTATGGTTAAACAAGTATTTATTTATATTCACCTGATAGCTTAACAATCATTGTGTGCTGTTCACATTAAAAAGACACGTGTGTGATACACTCAAACATCCACATTAATATATACTTGCACATTGTGAATCACAACCTTAGAGTCGAGATGTCTTCATGATTATGTATTGAAAGATGGAGTATTTAATTTCAGAATAAATATATTTTTATTGAACATTATATGAAGCAGTTACCTTTTTCTGTTAGTATATTTGAAATCTAAAAGACATGCTAAAGGAAATGATGCTGCAAGCTAGTAATAAAACTATCTACTGAAACTGTGCTATCACCAAACCACAAAAGGGGTAATATCTATCAGCAATTCATAAGTATAATGCTAATTACTTTCAGAATTGACTTCAATATTTTTTGTATTTATGGAGGTATGAATGAAAAAGCCGGCGTTCAAACTGTGTAAATCCGCGTAACTGAGGGAGACAATTATAGATCTTGTGAACTGTTTTTATAATCCTAGTTAATGTCAGGTTTCCGAGTAGATCCGGGGATGTTAAATATGTAGGACCAGTAGAAAGTAGTACTGATGATTAGTTTTGTGTTAGTCAGGGTTTATTTCAGTATACTAAATACATGAAACTTCTGTCTGGCATTGCATCTGAGTTTAGGAAATTACATTCAGAAGTTGACATCTGATCATGTTGATACATACATTACACTACATGTACAAAACACGCTTTGGCTCCAAAATGTAAAGGTGATCAAATCAACCAAATGTTAAAGAAGTTGGCTCAACAAATGTTGTCAATGTTGAACTGCATACTTGGATGTACTTTAAGGCTGATACTAACAGGACTAGATGTGTGTTGACCTGATCAACATCACCTGGAGAACGAACAATATGTACACATTTTCTGCAGTAAAAATATTTTATTGGAAATGTGTGATCTACAATATACCATAATAAAAGCAGAAAACAAGACAATAATAGAATGAAGATCAACAAACAGCTTAACTCACTACCACTAACAATGACTTATATGCAAACACAAAATAACAGAAGAGAGGTGTTCATCTCCTCACAACAAGTATCAGGCATCTTGAACACAGAACATGGTATCACAACATGCTGTATCACAGACGCACACTTCCTGAGCTGGATTACACTGAGCTACTCAACATATACTCAATGTAATATGTCTTTGTAAACATGAAATGTTAATTCAAGATGCTAAGCATTTCAGAGATGTTCAACAGGTCAACAGATAAAAACTGGGAAAAATGTTTTTATTAATGAAGCAGCAACTGCTGAAGCTCAAACCGCGGCCTATTCTCGAGTAGGCCACAGTTAGGAGTCACCAACATATAGAAACATAGTCTTGTTACTACCAACATGACTTCCAACTGACCAGGGTATCTCTTGTACCCATGACATGTCTACAACATGATGACTTTTATCACAAATATAATAAAGTACATCAAAAGCATTTCTCCTATGATAAAGGACTTCCCAGAGATGGGAGGCTGACCCGTAGTTTGTGTACCAAGTACCTACCAAGTAGGTGCTTTTTGAGTTCATGTCAACAAGTTTATTTGACCCAAGTAAGACCTTGAATTTGACTTTTTCTGTAAGTATCATAAATCACAAGGGCTATAAGATATCCATATAATCACAATGGTGGCCGTTGACAAAACTGATTATGATGATGTTCTTGCAGTTGATTCTGAGCCAGGAATTCACTGGCCATTCTGAACCTAAATTGTAACAAGTAAAAATCATGCCCCTCAGGTCATTATGCAAAGTTATAGATAATTAACATATCAACCATAAGATGATTGAGTTAGAGAAATCACAACACTGATTTGCCCACTACGGATATTTGTGAAGGGACTAAAAAGTAGTAAAGGTATAATACTTCTTGTGCGTGCTTTATGTTATGTGGTGTCAATGCCCTTCAATGTTTGCAAACATAGAATACTATAAACAGGATTGAAAACAATAACAAACCTGAAACCTTTCTGTACAAGTTTAATATCATTGTAATTTGAGTAGTATATCAAACAGAACAAATTATGCTCTGACATTCCAACTCATTGTTGTGAACAAGCTCCTAATATGTGATTGATTTTAAAAGACAGACACTTGCGTTTTTTATATAAAGTATTCCATTAAAAACATTACAGAATACATTACTTAATTTTATAAAATACTACAACAAATCATCATAACCATCCTCCTTTTTTGCTAACTTTTTCAACAGTTTCTTCTTTTTCTTCCCCTTTCCTTGTGTCTGTAATGGGGGTAGTCTCCCCTGTGCAGCTGGTGCTGCAACCCCATTGCCAATGCTGTGACCTGTGCCCATTCCTATGAAGTCATCACCATATGCATCTTGCCTCGGATACTCGTAGTCTTCCTCATCTATGGGTGTGTTATGCTGGTAGCCACCCAACGACCCCCGAGTCCTGTTCAACATGGCGGCATCTTCCCGTGAGTCATACTCATAGCCTCCTGATGACTGTCGCCTTGAGTAGTCATCATAGGGTGGCACTGCACCCCGCATTGCCGAGCCTGGCCGTGATGGATGGTCATCTGACTCAAAGCCTCCATTCACATTCACTCCCTGTGCTCCCAGTGAACCTCGCTTCAACCTGGACTTCTTCTTGGTGCCATCATTCAGCAGGCTCTCTTCGTTCAGTGAGGACACAAGGCTCAGTTGGGAGGATCGCTTCTTTGTTCCTCCAAGACGTTTCTTAGGACTTCTGTAGAAAAGAAAGTGATTATTCAGTATGTCCAAACACATATCACATACAATACACTACTGTCAAAGTATTCACTGGTAGTGTATTGGGAAATTGGATTGAAATGGGACGAGTTTCTCCAAAACTGTGCCTGTAGAGCTGTGGTCACATTTGTATGGGACAAAGAGCATGTTCATTAATATTTCAGCCTGCTTTATTAACTTTGATTAATAACCCTTGACTGTTACTTTCCTTACTAGTTTATGAGATATAGCTTGAATTAATTATAAGACAATACAGGCAAAGGTGAAATCAAAACACAGTATGTCCAGGGATAGATGATGATTAGGCCCCAAATTGAAATAATGTCATATCACTCAGGTACCTGCTGATACAGATGATATCCAGATACTTAATATGTATTGAACACAGTATGTGATTAAGGCACCTACCCACGGTTGCTGCGGAGGGAGCTCTGTCTGCTAGACAGCCCGGATGCCAGCTGAGATGCTCGAACACGCTCCACCAGAGCGTTGCTGTACAAGTATAAACAACTCAATATATAACACAAATCTCAAGCTTTAACACCATATCATTATGTGCTTCATGTATTAATGTACATAGTTTTGGAGTGTAGGTATCATTACATCATCAGAACACCTGCCAAGAGATAGATTTCTCTTCTCAACAAGGTATATTTGATTATGGTAAAAATAGAAACAGTTGGTTCCAGTAGGTCTTACTCTGTCTGTACTCCTGGTTGTGCTTGTGAGTCCTTGTCTGCAATCTTGTCCAGCATTCCCTGCAGCTGCGTCTGTGATTTCCCTGGGTGCAGCATCTGCAGCACCGGCACCAGCTCCTCCTGCTGCACTCTGCCCACCTTCACCAGCCCTGCTATAAACTGCAGCTCCTGCACACACACACAAGTCACACTCACAACACATCTCTTGGGATTTAGCATTGCTTATAAAGTAACATATTTCTGAATTAGATATCATTAATGGTTAAGTTTACTCTGAAGTAAACACATAGCCAATTAGTTAGCATGTACCACAAGAACACAACAGGAGACAACACTGGCCACCAGACATTGATTATCAGTGATCGTTGTCAAGTAAACTTTCAGCTGAAGTCTAAAATGACATGTGAATGTAAGTTTGGAGTGCTGTAACCACAATATTGCAGCAGTTTCAAAGTTGTTCTTCCAGTTTGTTGTCATCCTATCAACAAGCCTTTCATACAGCTTGAAACTACCCAAAGAGGAACATATCAGGTGTAATGTATCAGGGTGTTAATGTGGTTGCAGCAGTGACCTGATGTTCATCAACAATGATTGTACCTGTTCTTGCATAGCTTTCTGTTTGTTCACTTCAAACTGACGCCGGATATCTTCCAGGACCTGAGTAGTCTCTCTTTCCATCTGGTTTCTAAAATACAAAAGACATACTTATCAGTCAAAGAGTAAGATGTGTATCTGCTTATTTGCTCATCAAGTAACAAGCATTCGTAACAAAGACACAGTCATATTGCCAAAATGTCAGTTTTACCAGACCTGAACTGTTCAAGTTGCAGCATCTGTTGATGCATCAGGAGTGCTCGACGGATCTTTGAAGCAGTCTTAGATCCGGAAGCCTGCATGACCTCCACCATCTCCAGCTCCTGTTTCTGCAGCAGTGACTGCTCCCTCTGCATCAGACGCTCCTGCAGCTTCTCCTGCATGGCCTACAACACATGGACACACCACATACCTCTCTTGTATGGCCAACAATAATGTATGCAGATATCCTGCAGGGCCTAAACCAACACATATAGACACATCACACACCTGTCCTGTAGGGCCTCCACTAACACATGTCGACACATCACACACCTGTCCTGCAGGGCCTCCACTAACTCATGTAGACACATCACACACCTGTCCTGCAGGGCCTCCACTAACACATGTAGACACATCACACACCTGTCCTGCAGGGCCTCCACTTACACATGTAGACACATCACACACCTGTCATACAAGGCCTACACTAACACATATAGACACATCACACACCTGTCCTGCAGGGCCTACACTAACACATGTAGTCACATCACACACCTGTCCTGCAGGGCCTCCACTAACTCATGTAGACAAATCACACACCTGTCCTGCAGGGCCTCCACTAACACATGTAGACACATCACACACCTGTCCTGCAGGGCCTCCACTTACACATGTAGACACATCACACACCTGTCATACAAGGCCTACACTAACACATATAGACACATCACACACCTGTCCTGCAGGGCCTACACTAACACATGTAGTCACATCACACACCTGTCCTGCAGGGCCTCCACTAACACATGTAGTCACATCACACACCTGTCATACAGGGCCTCCACTAACACATGTCGACACATCACACACCTGTCCTGCAGGGCCTACACTTACACATATAGACACATCACACACCTGTCATACAGGGCCTACACTAACACATGTAGACACATCACACACCTGTCCTGCAGGGCCTGTAGCACATGTCGACACATCACACACCTGTCATACAGGGCCTACACTAACACATGTCGACACATCACACACCTGTCATACAGGGCCTACACTAACACATGTAGACACATCACACACCTGTCCTGCAGGGCCTCCACTAACACATGTAGACACATCACACACCTGTCATACAGGGCCTACACTAACACATATAGACACATCACACACCTGTCATACAGGGCCTACACTAACACATGTAGACACATCAGAGACCTGTCCTGCAGGGCCTCCACTAACACATGTAGACACATCAGAGACCTGTCCTGCAGGGCCTCCACTAACACATGTAGACACATCAGAGACCTGTCCTGCAGGGCCTCCACTAACACATATAGACACATCACACACCTGTCATACAGGGCCTACACTCACACATGTAGACACATCACACACCTGTCCTGCAGGGCCTCCACTAACACATGTAGACACATCACACACCTGTCCTGCAGGGCCTGTAGCACATGTCGACACATCACACACCTGTCATACAGGGCCTACACTAACACATGTAGACACATCACACACCTGTCCTGCAGGGCCTCCACTAACACATGTAGACACATCACACACCTGTCCTGTAGGGCCTACACTAACACATGTAGACACATCACACACCTGTCCTGCAGGGCCTCCACAAACACATGTAGACACATCACACACCTGTCATACAGGGCCTACACTAACACATGAAGACACATCACACACCTGTCATACAGGGCCTACACTAACACATGTAGACACATCACACACCTGTCCTTCAGGGCCTGTAGCACATGTCGACACATCACACACCTGTCCTGCAGGGCCTACACTAACACATGTAGACACATCACACACCTGTCCTTCAGGGCCTGTAGCACATGTAGACACATCACACACCTGTCCTGCAGGGCCTACACTAACACATGTAGACACATCACACACCTGTCATACAGGGCCTCCACAAACACATGTAGACACATCACACACCTGTCCTGCAGGGCCTCCACTAACACATGTAGACACATCACACACCTGTCCTGCAGGGCCTACACTAACACATGTAGACACATCACACACCTGTCCTGCAGGGCCTCCACAAACACATGTAGACACATCACACACCTGTCATACAGGGCCTACACTAACACATGTAGACACATCAGAGACCTGTCCTGCAGGGCCTCCACTAACACATGTCGACACATCACACACCTGTCATACAGGGCCTCCACTAACACATATAGACACATCACACACCTGTCCTGCAGGGCCTCCACTAACACATGTAGACACATCACACACCTGTCATACAGGGCCTACACTACCACATGTAGACACATCAGAGACCTGTCCTGCAGGGCCTCCACTTACACATGTAGACACATCAGAGACCTGTCCTGCAGGGCCTCCACTAACACATGTAGACACATCAGAGACCTGTCCTGCAGGGCCTCCACTAACACATATAGACACATCACACACCTGTCATACAGGGCCTACACTAACACATGTAGACACATCACACACCTGTCCTGCAGGGCCTCCACTAACACATGTAGACACATCACACACCTGTCCTGCAGGGCCTGTAGCACATGTCGACACATCACACACCTGTCATACAGGGCCTACACTACCACATGTAGACACATCAGAGACCTGTCCTGCAGGGCCTCCACTAACACATATAGACACATCACACACCTGTCATACAGGGCCTACACTAACACATGTAGACACATCACACACCTGTCCTGCAGGGCCTCCACTAACACATGTAGACACATCACACACCTGTCATACAGGGCCTACACTAACAAATGTCGACACATCAGAGACCTGTCCTGCAGGGCCTCCACTAACACATGTAGACACATCAGAGACCTGTCCTGCAGGGCCTCCACTAACACATGTAGACACATCAGAGACCTGTCCTGCAGGGCCTCCACTAACACATGTAGACACATCAGAGACCTGTCCTGCAGGGCCTCCACTAACACATGTAGACACATCAGAGACCTGTCCTGCAGGGCCTACACTAACACATGTCGACACATCACACACCTGTCATACAGGGCCTACACTAACACATGTAGTCACATCACACACATGTCCTGCAGGGCCTACACTAACACATGTAGTCACATCACACACCTGTCCTGAAGGGCCTACACTACCGCATGTCGACACATCACACACCTGTCATACAGGGCCTACACTAACACATGTAGACACATCACACACCTGTCCTGCAGAGCCTCCACAAACACATGTAGACACATCACACACCTGTCCTGCAGGGCCTTCAGCACATGTCGACACATCACACACCTGTCATACAGGGCCTACACTAACACATGTAGACACATCACACACCTGTCCTGCAGGGCCTACAATAAGACATACAGATATGTCCTATAAACATACATATAGTAGAAACATCAAACACAAGGTAGAGTAAAGTTTGTAGAATAAAGTATTATAACAATCCTGAAAGGTACTGATACCGGCAAAATATAAATCTCCAGACTAGTTCTTCAACCACCCTTCTGTTGAGGCTTTAAAACAGGTCATAATAAAGGTAGGCTTTTAAACGGGTCATCTTAAAGGTAGGCTTTCAAACGGGTCATCATAAAGGTAGGCTTTCAAACAGGTCATCATACAGGAAGGCTTTCAAACAGGTCATCATACAGGAAGGCTTTCAAACAGGTCATCATAAAGGTAGGCTTTCAAACAGGTCATCATAAAGGTAGGCTTTCACACAGGTCATCATAAAGGTAGGCTTTCAAACAGGTCATCATAAAGGTAGGCTTTCAAACAGGTCATCATAAAGGTAGGCTTTCACACAGGTCATCATAAAGGAAGGCTTTCAAAAAGGTCACCATAAATGTAGGCTTTCACACAGGTCATCATAAAGGTAGGCTTTCACACAGGTCATCATAAAGGTAGGCTTTCACACAGGTCATCATAAAGGAAGGCTTTCACACAGGTCATCATAAAGGTAGGCTTTCACACAGGTCATCATAAAGGTAGGCTTCCACACAGGTCATCATAAAGGTAGGCTTTCACACAGGTCATCATAAAGGTAGGCTTTCACACAGGTCATCATAAAGGAAGGCTTTCACACAGGTCATCATAAAGGTAGGGTTTAAAACAGGTCATCATACAGACACAGGTCATCATACAGGAAGGCTTTCACACAGGTCATCATAAAGGAAGGCTTTCAAACAGGTCATCATAAGGTAGGCTTTCAAACAGGTCATCATAAAGGTAGGCTTTCAAACAGGTCATCATAAAGGTAGGCTTTCAAACAGGTCATCATAAAGGTAGGCTTTCAAACAGGTCATGATACAGGAAGGCTTTCAAACAGGTCATCATAAAGGTAGGCTTTCACACAGGTCATCATAAAGGAAGGCTTTCACACAGGTCATCATACAGGAAGGCTTTCAAACAGGTCATCATAAAGGTAGGCTTTCACACAGGTCATCATACAGGAAGGCTTTCAAACAGGTCATCATAAAGGTAGGCTTTAAAACAGGTCATCATAAAGGTAGGCTTTCAAACAGGTCATCATAAAGGTAGGCTTTCAAACAGGTCATCATAAAGGTAGGCTTTCAAACAGGTCATCATAAAGGAAGGCTTTCAAACAGGTCATCATACAGGAAGGCTTTCAAACAGGTCATCATAAAGGTAGGCTTTCAAACAGGTCATCAAAAAGGTAGGCTTTCAAACAGGTCATCATAAAGGTAGGCTTTCAAACAGGTCATCATAAAGGTAGGCTTTCAAACAGGTCATCATATAGGTAGGCTTTCAAACAGGTCATCATACAGGAAGGCTTTCAAACAGGTCATCATAAAGGTAGACTTTCACACAGGTCATCATAAAGGAAGGCTTTCACACAGGTCATCATACAGGAAGGCTTTCACACAGGTCATCATAAAGGTAGGCTTTCACACAGGTCATCATAAAGGAAGGCTTTCACACAGGTCATCATACAGGAAGGCTTTCAAACAGGTCATCATAAAGGTAGGCTTTCACACAGGTCATCATACAGGAAGGCTTTCACACAGGTCATCATACAGGAAGGCTTTCAAACAGGTCATCATAAAGGTAGGCTTTCAAACAGGTCATCATAAAGGAAGGCTTTCACACAGGTCATCATAAAGGAAGGCTTTCACACAGGTCATCATACAGGAAGGCTTTCAAACAGGTCATCATAAAGGTAGGCTTTCAAACAGGTCATCATAAAGGAAGGCTTTCACACAGGTCATCATACAGGAAGGCTTTCAAACAGGTCATCATAAAGGTAGGCTTTCACACAGGTCATCATAAAGGAAGGCTTTCACACAGGTCATCATACAGGAAGGCTTTCAAACAGGTCATCACAAAGGTAGGCTTTCACACAGGTCATCATACAGGAAGGCTTTCAAACAGGTCATCATAAAGGTAGGCTTTAAAACAGGTCATCATAAAGGTAGGCTTTCAAACAGGTCATCATAAAGGTAGGCTTTCAAACAGGTCATCATAAAGGTAGGCTTTCAAACAGGTCATCATAAAGGAAGGCTTTCACACAGGTCATCATACAGGAAGGCTTTCAAACAGGTCATCATAAAGGTAGGCTTTCAAACAGGTCATCATAAAGGTAGGCTTTCAAACAGGTCATCATAAAGGTAGGCTTTCAAACAGGTCATCATAAAGGTAGGCTTTCAAACAGGTCATCATAAAGGTAGGCTTTCAAACAGGTCATCATAAAGGTAGGCTTTCACACAGGTCATCATAAAGGAAGGCTTTCACACAGGTCATCATAAAGGTAGGCTTTCTTACAGGTCATCATACAGGAAGGCTTTCAAACAGGTCATCATAAAGGTAGGCTTTCAAACAGGTCATCATAAAGGAAGGCTTTCACACAGGTCATCATACAGGAAGGCTTTCAAACAGGTCATCATAAAGGTAGGCTTTCACACAGGTCATCATAAAGGAAGGCTTTCACACAGGTCATCATACAGGAAGGCTTTCAAACAGGTCATCACAAAGGTAGGCTTTCACACAGGTCATCATACAGGAAGGCTTTCAAACAGGTCATCATAAAGGTAGGCTTTAAAACAGGTCATCATAAAGGTAGGCTTTCAAACAGGTCATCATAAAGGTAGGCTTTCAAACAGGTCATCATAAAGGTAGGCTTTCAAACAGGTCATCATAAAGGAAGGCTTTCACACAGGTCATCATACAGGAAGGCTTTCAAACAGGTCATCATAAAGGTAGGCTTTCAAACAGGTCATCATAAAGGTAGGCTTTCAAACAGGTCATCATAAAGGTAGGCTTTCAAACAGGTCATCATAAAGGTAGGCTTTCAAACAGGTCATCATAAAGGTAGGCTTTCAAACAGGTCATCATAAAGGTAGGCTTTCACACAGGTCATCATAAAGGAAGGCTTTCACACAGGTCATCATAAAGGTAGGCTTTCTTACAGGTCATCATAAAGGAAGGCTTTCACACAGGTCATCATACAGGAAGGCTTTCAAACAGGTCATCATAAAGGTAGGCTTTCACACAGGTCATCATACAGGAAGGCTTTCACACAGGTCATCATACAGGAAGGCTTTCACACAGGTCATCATAAAGGAAGGCTTTCACACAGGTCATCATACAGGAAGGCTTTCAAACAGGTCATCATAAAGGTAGGCTTTCAAACAGGTCATCATAAGGAAGGCTTTCACACAGGTCATCATACAGGAAGGCTTTCAAATCCCAAAACGGTAATCACTCTGTGCCATGCCGGGCAGGGTGGGCCGTTAAGTTGCTCAAAGCCAAAGTTGTGGATGGCAGATTGGAGCAGTCCTGGACTTGTTCACGGAGCACAGAACTCCAGCTGTCAACAGTCCTCACCTCTCTTTGAAGGATCAAGTTATCAAAGGAGAACAACTGGCACAGGGTCATTACAGTTTTATGGAGGCAAGTTGTCAACCATAAGAACTTGATCCTTTCGCATCCCAGGAAACAGATGGTCAAGTGTGCAGAAAGGCCTTTATGCAGTGGAAGCGCCATGCATCCCCATCGACTCCAGTTTGCATTCGCAATCCCCGTGGTGAATCTATGTCTCATTGCCTGTAACCAGGCGTGCATGAAAACTGGATGGGTCCTCATTCTACAATTCTAAGAGCTCACAACTTGACTCCACTGATGTTGATCACACTGAAATTCTGAGGTACCCTTCTGGCAGTAAGTTTAGATATACCAAACTTCTTGTTGAAACACTGCCATGAGACACTGTACACTCCTTGGCTATTTCATTTAACTTGATATGAAGATCCTTCATTATCAAGACCTCTACTCTAGCAATCATTTCATCAGTGATGACTACAGAACATTTCATCAGTGATGACTACAGAATGTCTTCCAGACCTTGGATCAATTCAAGGCTTTCTTGTCCTTGCTTGAATTCAGAAGACCACTTTGCAACTGTTGAATCACCGGGAGCTTCATCACCATAGACCATACACGGGTGAATGTTCATGAATGATGATGGAAGTGTTCTAATCTGGTCTAGTCATGGTTTCAGGTGGGTAGGTTTACTGTTACAGATATCATGTAAATATATCATGAAGAAGAAACTTGACATTTTTGGGACAGTGATGTGAAAGAGGAAGCTTTCCAGCAAACACAAGCTTATGTTTCAGTAGCAAGTTTTTGAATCTTGTTCTAGTTGTATTTACTTGCCCTCCTACTTCTCCTGCAGGACCTATTGCGTGAGCTGATAACCATTTTACACTACCTGCCTTCAGTGCCAGACACTATTTTTTATGAAAACCCTTTGTGTGGTGCAGATATATGTGAAGATGTAGTATTGGTGCAGGCATCAGGCCTATCTCAGCCTCTGCTGCATGCAGTAGTAAAACACCTATGAGGAGGTTATTGAGGGACTCACTCTTTCTTGCTTCTTCCTCTGTGAATCAAGCTTCTTGTTCAACTGCTCTTGTCTCTGAAACATGATACGGATATGATTAACATATTACAGTGACTCTGTACAATCTTCATTAAGTAAGCTTCTATCATGAATTGGCATACACAGCTGACGTACCTCCTTGTGTGTCTCTATGATGCGCTCACACTCTGGTGAGCTGAGAACACCACGATCAGTCAGTTCATCCATCAGGTTCACCTTCAGGTTATTGATGGCCCTCTGCTGCTCTTCAATCTGGGCCATCTGAAAGATCACGGATACTGAGGAATGTGCCACTCAAAAATAATGCACCTCCATGGTCTGGTTGCTAGCTTACCTGTGAACACTTGCCGTCTGTTGCTTCACTGCACAGTTTTGGGACGTGCCTATGCTTACCTCTCTGGCTTTCTGCATCTGCAGGGCAGCAATCATAGCTCCAAGTCTTTCCTCCTGGTTCTTCAAGGCATATGCTCGCTCCTTTGTCATCTCTTGTCGAATCTTCAACAGAGAAGAAAGAGAATCAAATCATTTTGTTCTCAGCAAATTGATACAGAAGAGCAATCCTAATTTGTGTAAAAGTGTGCTTCCAAAATGCCCAACAATTTTTAGTCTGTACTTTTAGCAAGCTGTTTTATTAGTTCGTGTAATGTATGGCGACATACCTTTGACCATGTGGGATGTGCTAACCTGTGACAATTCTTCCTCTAGATTCAGCTCATGACCTTGCAGCACTGCAATCCGTCTTTCTGCATATTTCTTCATCAAAGCAGCCTCCTGTCGATGTGTTTCAGCATCAGATTCTTCCCGATTGTTCTCAGCAGCTCTTCGTTGCTTCTGTTACAAAAATCAGAATCAGACAAGATTACATTCTACCCACTACTAATGTCTCATCAGGAGACCTCTACCCACTACTGTTGTCTCATTTGGAGATGTCTACTTCCTAATGTTGTCTCAACTCATCACAATGATGTATTCGCTGGTGACTGACCTTGATTTCAGTGTCTTGTCGTTGCTGTAATTTCTCCAGTTGCTGGGCCCTCCTCTGTGCCAGTTTGTCCTCCAACATTCTCTTCTGACGAAGCTTGTTCAGTGTTAAGCTACATGAAAATACAGCACACTCCATCAATAGTACAGCCTTTACTGTAACATCACATATATAGAGGACGTTTGGTGGTAACTGAACCTACCTATTTTCTAATTGCACCATCTGTTTTTCATGTTCCTTCAAGATGCGATCTTTTTCAGCTTCAGAAATTGACATCTGGCTGTTAATCAACTTGCTGGACAAAACAGAAAACAGGAATAAGTTTATATCTGCATGAATAGTTCATGTCAAGCTACACCGCTTGATGAGTTTTGTAGAATTTTCCTTTTCGGAATATTCTATAAGTAATATGTTACCACTGTTATACCGAGGCTGTTGTCTCCCACAACTACTGCTATAGCGAAATCTACCACAGAAATATCAATTACCTCATGCAGCACGTGCGTAGCCACCTAGCTGTCATGTGACACCCTTCACTCTTGTCCCCACTGGATAGGTATTTCATCGCCGCAGCGGATGAGAACACAGTATCCGTGTGAGCTAAATCTTAGATCAGGTTAAACAGTCAAAAAGAGGGAAATTAATTTCATTCAGACCGTATATCCCCAGTAATTCCAGTATTCGTAAGCATGTATCACAAGGTTGGAATACACGACAGACAATTAAATGCATAATTGTCAAAATACAAATAAGGACAAAACACACAAAAAGCCACCTCACCTGTGGTGTGAGTGCCCTGGTTTGCAGGACCCCCACTCCTGTACCCACGGTGTGGGAACATTGGAGACGACCCAGATTGACCACCGTGCAAGGACTGACGACTGCAGAGTTTGGAATTGCGCTGGACACACCCCCTAGATGACCGCTTGTGCCGCGATCAGCGGCCCAAGACGTTGCACCCCCTCGACGTCTTCATCAGAAACCTTTCTGAGGTAATGATTGGCAAAAACCGAGTCAGAACGCCAGTAACAACCTCGTAATATTCGAGTGTAGGACAAATGTTGCCGCTAGCGCCCTGATCTCGTGCAGGTTTGACCCCGCTACCGGTAACCCCCGAGACTGGTACGCCAGATTGATGACAGAACGAAGCCACAATGCAATCGAGTTGCGAGTTATGTCAACCGTGCGATTAGGGTTACACGATATGAACAGACGGTCACGCCTTTGTCTACGTTCATTCGAACCCTTAAGATAATACTTAAGGGCCCTAACCGGACACAGTGCTCTGTCCTCAGTATCAGCAGGATGTAAGATTTCTTTGAGTGATCTTACAGTGAATTCTCTCTCCATTTCCCCTAGATTCTTGGCGACAAAGCCCATGAGCAGGCCCAGGCGGACCGCTCCTTCGTCACCCTCATCGAATCGTACCTTGGCGACATCGAGTGCATGAATTTCGGATACATGTGCCACCTTGGCAAAGGAGAGGAGAAATGCTGTTTTCCAAGTCACATGCTGGAACGAAGCACTATGCAAGGGTTCATACGGAGCTTCCGTAAGTGATTGCAACACTAGGGAAAGATCCCAGGCCGGTGCCCGAAGGCAGCCCTTCTTAAGATCGTGCTGTTTGAAACCCTTGATAATACCCTGTATCACCAGCTCTTTGGAGAGACTGGTACCCATAGCAACGTCCCGTACCATAGCAATGGACGAGACATAGTTGGCAATGGAACACCCGGAGAGTTTCCAGGTCTCTCGCAAGTGAGACATGAAACGAGCAATATCCTGCACAGATACCTTATCTGGCGAATGAATGTGATGTTTACAACACCACTTCGTGAAAATAACCCAACGTGCATTATACACCTTCTGGGTAGAATCACGATGCATACTAATGTATGCCCGAGACGCCCGATGAGAAAAAACCTTTACTGCTCAGACGCTCAGTGACAACATCCACGCGTGCAGATTGAACTGCCCTGCGTTTGGATGAAGCTGACGGGTGTGAGGGTGGATCAAGAGATCCGGTCTCACAGGCAGTGGAAGTGGCGACTGCTAGACCTGGGTCAGCAAGTCGGGGTACCACGATCTGTTGGGCGCGATCAGTAACATTCGACAGCGAACTCCTCGGAGCCGGCTTAGAATGTGTGGTATCAACGCTGTCGGCGGGTAAGCATAAGCGCCCAAGCCCTTCCAGTCTAACGCGAGAGCATCGTGATCAATGGCCCTCGGGTCCGGGACTGGTGATACAAACAACAGGAGTTGATTGTTGAACCGTGTTGCGCACAGGTCGACCATCGGATGACCCAAACATTCGCACAGCCACTGAAACACTACTCTGTGGGGCTCGGATCCCGAGGCCTCGATAGAGCGTCGGCCAGTACGTTGCGCACACCTGGGAATTCGAACGTGAGATCGAGTAGCGAGTGACTGTGGGTTCCCCCCAGTTTGTTCACATAGGACACAACCGTCCTGTTGTCGGTCGCCAGCATGAGCCGGGCGTCGACGAGACGATGCTGCCCAGTGATTGACTGCGTTGATCACTGCCTTGAACTTGAGACAATTGATGTGAAGACCTAGTTCGTCTACGCACCACAGCCCCGCGAGCTCACCTCCCCCTCTAGATGGGCGCCCCAGCCCACTAGAGAGGCGTCTGTATACAGGTTCAACGAGGCCCGGTAGGGCCCCATAGAGACTCCTGATAAGACATTGTAAGGGACCGTCCACCACTCCAGATGCGGTCGGAGCCGTTTCGGGAGGGCGACGGTCGCACTGTTCACCTCCTGTGCTAACAACTGGATTAAAAACCGTTGCAGCCTGGGCTGACACAAGTAACCCTAACGGCTGTTCCCAAAAGTGAACAGTCTGTTGCACTGCAAAGACTTTGGCAATCATCGCCTGAATCTTGTGCCACCGGTCTGGGGGGACAAAGAGGCGATGGGTCACCGTGTTGAACCGACCTCCGATGAACTGTAAGTTCTGAGAGGGGGTTAACTCGATCTTAGGGAGATTGACAATCCACCCCAATTGCTCCAAGAGCCGACGTGCAAAATCAAGCTGCCGAGACAGCGTGTCCGTCATTCGATTTGCTACTAGCGAGTCGTCCAGGTACGCGAAGTACCGGACACCTCTCCGGTGGAGGAACCCCACTATGGGGGTGGTTAACCGGGTGAACAGCCAGGGAGTGGATGAAAGACCGAATGGGAGTACAACCCACTCATAGTGCCTGCCTTGAAAGACAAACCTGAGATACTTGTGATGATGCGAGTGAATCGGAACATGCAGATAAGCATCCTTCAGGTCGATCGAAGCGAGCTAGTTGGCCGGCATGATCAGAGCTTTCAGGTCCGCCAAGCTCAACATTCTGAACTTGGCAGCTTGTGCAGGTAGAACTCGCTGAACGATTTCAAGTTGTGAATCATTCTGAGTTTGGCACTGTCCTTCTTGGGAAAGAGAAATATCCTGGAGTAAAACCCCGGTGTTATTTCTGGTAGAGCTAACTCCCGAACTGCCCTCTTCTCCACCAACCTGCCGATGGCATCTGCGAGGATGGGAAGATCGGTTTCTGAATAGAAACCTGCCGACGGGGCAACGGTGAGCGGCGGATTCGCTTTGAGATCGAGCCGATAGCTGTACCGAATCGTGTTGACCACCCACGGGTCGTCGAACACTTGTTCCCAATTCTCCCAGTAAGTCTGGAGTCTGGCTCCCACTGGGGAAGGAGAGGGGGGCCTGACAGGCTGCCAAGTGACTCGGGTTCGCCTACGGGCCAACCGAAGTTGGCGCTGTCGGCATGAGAGTCACTTGGAGGGGCCCTTGCCGTCCTTAGATGACTTGGGCTTCCCCCAGTTCCCCTTCTTCCCGTGAAAGGGCTGCTGATGGCCCTTACCAGAGCCCTCAGGGCGGGGCTTCTTCCCGGAGGAAGAAGAACCCGACCCCTTAGGCCTGCCGGCTGCAGCATCCTGGGGCGCGCTCCGCTTAGGAGCGGCACCCAGGTGCCTATGCAAGGACCCCACAAGATCCAGTGTCTGCGGAGAGGCCTCGGCAGACACAGCGGCCTGTTGTTCTTTCAGAACCCCAGGGATCTTGTTATTAAACAGGGTCCGAGCAGACCAAGGCCGCGAAAGGAGCACCTCCTGATTAGAAGCATCCAACCCTGAGGCAACCAGATACGACTAGCGCCGGAGAAAATGGCACGTGCAGGAAATAAAGGCCGAAGCCCCGTCAACGTACTCCAGGGAAGCATTTAAACCGAGCAGGCAGTTATAAATGCGCTGGTCTCAGTCCGTGGGAGAACCTTCGACCAGACTGGCCGCTGCAGCCAGGTATGTGTCTCAGTGAGACATAGTCAGCATGGAGTGTCGAGCGAGGGTGTCCAGCTGCTGCAAGGTACCTTGTGGTACCGTGGCAGCCGGTGGGGCACGGACATCCAAACGCTCAACATGGGCTTCCGCGGTAGGACCAGCCTTGGGAAAGTCAAGGTCATGCACCGGGAAGGACCCTTTTCTCCATGACGGTGGAGGTAACGGGAGACCCCGACCGGAGGCAGCCGCGAAGGCCTTCTCCAGGGAAGGCTTAATCCAGCGCAGCAAGGTTGATGCCGGGAAAGCCTTGTCGGATGATTCGTCGTACACCTCGGAGGAACCCACGGAGCCGTGGATTCCCCGTGGTATCGGCAGGGGCTTGGGCATGTCCTCGAAGAGGTCATAAACCATGGCCACGCGGTCCTTAACCGGCAACGGAGCAATGGTTCGGGGGAAGGACCGGTGACTACGGCAGCCGCCGCCGTTCCGGTGGACCCCGCATCCAAACCCGCAGCCACCGAAGAGGCCGGGGACGGAACAGCCAGCGGCCTATCCTGAGATAAGGCCGCCAGCTTGGAGTCCACAAGTTTAGATAACAATGCGGTGACGGAATCCCCGGACAGCCCGAGGGCCGCCAAGGGATCCGCCGCAGCCGAGGAGGTCGTACCTGCACGGGGACCTGCACGGACGGACTGGACGTACAGTCGGTAACGCTCAAACTCCGCAGGCCCCAGACCTTCGCACAGGGTGCACCAGGTGTCCCCGCAAGGAACCCTGCACCGAGGGCAGCGATCGTGGGGATCCTGGGACAACAAGAATTTGCGGCACACCCCGCAACTCCGAGGAGCAGGGGTAGAGGAGGTTGAAACCGGGGACATTTCCATGTCAGACATTGTTTGATTCTATGAACAAAGAGCAAAACATGGTTACAACGCACGCACCACAATGATTCACAAACGAGCATTTTCACAAGAAAATAAACGAGCAATGTGAACATATAACATACACATATAACATATAGACAAATAAATGATGTTAACCCCCAAAACATACAAGAACAGGGCAAACGTAAAAGACAACGTGCATACGCGAACCCCGCAAGTATAGAGAAAAAAGGGCGGGAAAATTCTCCGTTTGGCAGGAAAATTATATCCAAGCGTAGCTACCGCAACACCCCATAAAAGCACAGTTTATTAGAGAATAAACTATAATAAATATCACCGAATATTCGAGGAACACTTCAGCAGTAGAATACACGTCTTGCTAACGCAAGCGAAGGAGACAAGAGTGAAGGGTGTCACATGGCAGCTAGGTGGCTACGCACGTGCTGCATGAGGTAATTGAGATCTCTGTGGTAGATTTCGCTATAGCAGCAGTTGTGGGAGACAACAGCCTGTAACAGTGGTAACATATTACTTAATGTAATTTAATTATTGTTCTCACTTTGATGTATAATGTCAGTATGAGATATTCTTGTGAGTTTGCTGCTAGCTTGCTGCACTCACTTGACGACCTTGGCCTCGTGCTCCCTCAGCTCCTCCTGCTCCTGCTTCTCCTGTGCCCTGCGCTGCTCCCACTCCTGCTGCCTCCGCAACAGCGTCTCCCGCAACCTCTCCTTCTGCTTCTCCCTCTCCCCCTCCTGCCGCCGCAGCAGATCATTCAGTTCTCGGTCATGATCCTTCAGGAACTTATTCATCTGATTTTCACTCATTCCTTCAATTAAGAAACAAGTGAAGCAACTGAACACATGGTGTGGTATAAGAAAGCAGAAGACTCACTTGTGATAAGCTTCGAAACACGTCCACCTTGAGACTTATTCACACATAAACATTACACACTACATGGAAGGGTGTTCACCCTCGAGTGAATTAATCTATCAATTACACACAAGCCAATTTACAACTTTAATATGATGCAAGATACCCACTATTTAACATCCAAATGCCGTGAAAACACCTAGATGGTGCGCAAGACACTTAACTTCCAAAATGTGTTGGTTTGGTGTTTAATGCTGCACTCAGCATTATTCCACCTTCATGATGGCACTCTGTAAATAATCTAGCAGCCTGTAACACATTTAGTAGCGTCCCATGAAGTCGCAGTAGCAACAGAGTCTCTGATCCTGACCAAACAAATGCATTAAGTCGCCTCATACAACAAGTACAGACTGCGAGGTACCTATTCTAATTCAGATTCTCCACAGAAACAGGTAACATCCAATATGTTGTGAAAGCCTTCCTGTAAATCCTATATGACACCTACCCTATAACATCCAGTATATCCTATATGACACCTACCCTATAACATCCAGTATATCCTATATGACACCTACCCTATAACATCCAGTATATCCTATATGACACCTACCCTATAACATCCAGTATATCCTATATGACACCTACCCTATAACATCCAGTATATCCTATATGACACCTACCATATAACATCATATGTACTCCATAAGACACCTACCAAATAATATCCTATGTACTCCATAAGACACCTACCACATAACATCCTATATTCTCCATAAGACACCTACCATATAACATCCTATATACTCCATAAGACACCTACCATATAACATCCTATATACTCCATAAGACACCTACCATAGAACATCCTATGTACTCCATAAGACACCTACCATATAGCATCCTATGTACTCCATAAGACACCTACCATTTAACACCCAATATACCCCATAAGACACCTACCATATAACATCCTATGTACTCATTAAGACACCTACCATATCACATCCTATATACTCCATAAGACACCTACCATATAACATCCTATATACTCCATAAGACACCTACCATATAATATCCTATGTACTCCATAAGCCACCTACAACATAACATCCTATATTTTCCATAAGACACCTACCATATAACATCCTATGTACTCCATAAGACACCTACCATATAACATCCTATGTACTCCATAAGACACCTATCCACATAACACCCTATGTACTCCATAAGACACCTACCATATAACACCCTATGTACACAATAAGACACCTACCATATAACACACTAGGTACCCCATAAGACACCTACCATATAACATCCTATGTACTCCATAAGACACCTACCATTTTACACCCTATGTTCTCCATAAGACACCTACCATATAACACACTATGTACTCCATAAGACACCTACCATATAACACCCTATGTACACCATAAGACACCTACCATATAACACACTAGGTACTCCATAAGACACCTTCCATATAACACCCTATGTACTTCATAAGACACCTACCATATAACACCCTATGTACTCCATAAGACACCTACTATATAACATCCTATGTACTCCATAAGACACCTTCCATATAACACCCTATGTACTTCATAAGACACCTACCATATAACACCCTATGTTCTTCATAAGACACCTACCATATAACACCCTATGTACACAATAAGACACCTACCATATAACACCCTATGTACTCCATAAGACACCTACCATATAACACCCTATGTACTCCATAAGACACCTACCATATAACATCATATGTACTCCATAAGACACCTACCATATAACACCCTATGTACTCCATAAGACACCTCCCATATAACACCCTATGTACTCCATAAGACACCTACCATATAACACCCTATGTACTCCATAAGACACCTACCATATAACACCCTATGTACTCCATAAGACACCTACCCTCTCCTTGCAGGTCAGCAAGAAGCTTCTTCTCCATCTCCTTCAGTTCAGCCCGGGCAGAGAATGCTATTTGGTTCCTTGACTCCTCCAACTCATGAAAATGTTCACTGTCAATATCATTCTCAAGGTCACTTAACTCTGTACGATGATGTGATCTGAGTTTCAGCAAACCTTCAGCAAATGCTATTGGATCTGAAGTTAGATAAATACAACAGTTAACTCAGCCTCAGATGTTGCTTGAGTGTTCTGTAATATCAATCGCTAACTGAAAAGGTGTTTTAATTATATGCAAAATCATAGCAGCCCCATGCTCACCATTTTCTGAATGCCCCAGAAGTTTCCCATCAGGATCATGTATCATGAACTATTTTGACTTCACCACATCAGGTGACAGTCATCCTCACACATGCCCAATGCAGTGCTACTTTGACATAGAAAAAGCCTATGCCTCCACCCACCTTCATTACAAAGTTATGAGCTCTTCCTGGTCAATAACATCCCTTATGGTTTGGGACAATACATGGCCAATGCAGTGAATCTTTGCGACAGAAAGTGTCATGCTTCTAGCTATTTTAGGAACAATGTTATAAGAACTTCCAAGAAAGTAACATCACTTTCGGTTAAAGAAAACACATGGTACAACTTTGAAACATTAAGTCCAATGCTTCTAGCTACTTCATTTTTGAAAACATTCTTATGTGCACTCCTGATTTAATAACTTCCCTTCCCGTTTGAGAAAACACATGGGCAATGAGGTACAATTGTGAAACAGAAATTTTATTCCGAAGTTTCGAGTAACTTTATTTTTAACAACGTTTTTATGTGCACTTCCAGTTTAACAGAGTCCCTTCCTGTTTGGTGAAGACATGGCAAATGCATTACAACTTTGAAACAGAAAAGATAATGGCTTTAACTACCTTTGATTACAAGGTCACAAGCACTTCCAGTTGAATGACCTTGACCTTTATTATCAGCCATGAACGGCCTAGACATCATGCTTAGAAAGTTTCATCAACATCCAATTCTAAAACACAAGCTATTGTGTTTACACACTCTTTTTGAGGGTGTTGACTTCTCATCTAGAGGCAAGGACCTTTAATGTCATCAAATCACATCCGAGAACATTGTTTCTCACAAGCAATGGTTGTTCCAAATAAGAAGTTTCCATTCCATTCTAACAATCCTTCCTGAATGAAACTATTTCAAGTCATTTCAAGACTGAATTACTTTCTAAGCAGGTGGCTGCATAATCAAAATAACACATCTACAGAAGAGGACATACCAATGCTGCCATCTGTTTGCTGTGCTGTACTCTTGCTGGCGAAATCCTGAAATTCTTGTTCTTGGTGCTTCTTCTTCTCCATCAGTCTCTGCTGTTTGCGTTGACTCAGCTTTTTGTGTAGCTCCTCTTCCTGTCTCCCCTTTTCCTTCTCCATCTTTTCCTTAACAGCCAGCATCTCCTCTTTCACATTCTTGAGGTACTCATCTACCTGAGCCTCACTCAGGACCTCTCTCCTGGGTAACCATGGCAACAAAGGAAAAGTATTAGCTACACTTCTACAGGCACTCTTCTACCTAAACGTAACCCAGGACCTTTTTCCTGCGAACCATGGTACAAAATGACAACCTAGCTACCTTGCTGTGATTCTCTCACCTACTTTTGCCTCCCTATCACAAGATTCCGGGGTAGAATAGGTCTTCAGCAACCCATGCTTGCCGTAAAGGTTGACTATGCTTGTTGTAAAAGGCGACTAACGGGATCGGGTGGTCAGGCTCGCTGACTTGGTTGATGCATGTCATCAATCCCAATTGCGTGGATCGATGCTCATGATATTAATCACTGGATTGACTGGTCCAGACTCGATTATCTACAGACCGCCGTCATAAAGCTGGAATATTGCTGAGTGCGGCGTTAAACAACAAACCAACCAACCAACCAACCCTATCACAAGCCATACCTTGATTAGATGATCTTTTAAACTTTTACTAGATGGAAGGCAGATAAAGCACACAGTTGACTGAAGTCCTATCCACTCACTTGCCCATCCTCTGTATGGCTGTGACCTGGTGTCCCACCATGGTGTTCAGCATTTCCACATGGTCATCCTCCTGGCCCTCCTGCAGAAACACATGTCACAGTGTCAGTCAATCACAGATACAACAGTACCAACCAGTGCCTCACAATCTGCAGGATCATGGCAGTCACAGTCTCTGTTCACTGAAGTTCAAGTTACTGACCAGACAATTAGAATTTGTCTGCATACAGTGAATCTGCATGCTTGGTGGCCTCATGTTGTACCACCATTAATTGTCATATTCTAGCCAGAACAAGTGCTTTGTAGAGTGTCGCAACTGGGGCAATCTCCGAAGGTCTTGTTTAACGTTTTCAGATGAGTCCAGATGCACACTAAACTTTCAAGCTAGGTGTCGGTATGTCTGGGAGCAAATGTCATGCAATGTCTATGTAAGGTAACATAAGGCTAAAAAAGATATTTATTCTTGGTTCTCAGGCACCGCCTCATCATCACAAAGTCCGCCGCACGTTTTGTTTTTATTTCCATTTTCACAAAAATGTTATGTGTCTCGAACACATGACCTCAACAGTGAAATGCTACAATACTTAAAAACAATGCGATCCAATATAGCATGCAGTTACTTCCCTTTTCATGCGCACTGCTTTACTGCACATCTCGTGTGTTATGGCGGTAAAAGGAGTGTGCTTGTTTTGGTGTTTGCAAATTTGGTCAATGAAAACATGAACTTTGCGATAAAACATCACTAGACATGATGATTTACAAATTCAATGGTATCTGTGTACTGTATGCAGGACAATCTTTCATATGCAGAGGTTAAGATTTACATATATTTATTTGTCTCGTATAATAAGCGGGAAATCGATGCTAATTTATATACCCCGTCTTTAGAGCAAATCGGAATGAAGCATGTCACCAGCACATACACAATAACTACATTTGCAATAGTAATTTTTCCCTTCAGCAAACTCAGTAATACGAACAGATTATATTAAATTTGGCCAATTTTGATACAATGAGCGGAAGAATTGTATCTGAAACTATTATTTTATCAGGAATAATTTATTCCAATATCATATTAGTTGCAGCTTTACTTTATACATGTGAAATAAATTAATAACCATATGCATAGAACTTTGGTTCAGCTGATCGCTATTGCCGGATATTTTTTCATATGAAAAAGAATTTGACCATTCACCGTCAATGCTCCCGCGGCCGCGATTGCGACTGAAATATGACTTTCAGCGGTTCAGTGTATGGCATTTATGATATATATATCCTTTCTCTATCCACTAAAGTTGTTTCAAGGCGTCAATAGCGGTAAAATGAGTTGTGCATTCTTCCGATCACTTCACATACAATCTCGCCAAAATGAATTGAAACACTATTGAATGAAATGTTGAATAAAATTAATAAAATAGATTACCAACATTAGTCCAGATATATTATGAACTCTTTTTACAACCAGACAGTGTAATTACATGATTAATTTGCGTACTTCAGCACGGATTTGCTGACATGGTATTTCCGGTGTTACCTGCACACAGTAATGTGTTTGTGTTGGGGAAAAAAAACAAAGAAACCTCTTCAACCCTGTGTATAAGCATGATAAGACGTCACCCCCACCCACCCCTTCAAAGCCTCCTAATCTTAGTTATGAAAAATTTGCCTTATACACAGCAATATACGGAATTGGATTCTAACTAGTTTGTACATAAATGAAAAAGAAAAGAAAAAAAAATCCGCCCGCCCGCACAATATTTTTAAAAGCTATTGCTAAGAGCCAATTCTTATTTTTTGTCAGCCTAACAGATTTGGGTGTGGGTCTGCAATGATATGGAGTGGGGATCACTATGACTGCCAGAATGCCCCTGCATACTGTCCTGTGGAAGGGTCACTGGAGAGTACTACTGACACAAAATACTGGCGCCAATAGTTGTGACGTTTCAGTGTCATGATAGTCCATGTTTTGATGGGAACTTTCACATGCCAGAGCCTAAACGTTGACATATTCTTCCACTTCATGTGGAGGTGTACTTACACTTTCATGGCCAGTAAAAAGATGTACTTACACTTTCATGGCCAGTAAAAAGGTGTACTTACACTTTCATGGCCAGTAAAAAGGTGTACTTACACTTGCATGTCCAGTAACAAGGTGTACTTACACTTGCATGTCCAGTGTCTGAGTGTCAAGGTGTACTTACACTTGCATGTCCAGTAACAAGGTGTACTTACACTTGCATGTCCAGTGTCTGAGTGTCAAGGTGTACTTACACTTGCATGTCCAGTAACAAGGTGTACTTACACTTGCATGTCCAGTAACAAGGTGTACTTACACTTGCATGTCCAGTAACAAGGTGTACTTACACTTGCATGTCCAGTAACAAGGTGTACTTACACTTGCATGTCCAGTAACAAGGTGTACTTACACTTGCATGTCTAGTAACAAGGTGTACTTACACTTGCATGTCCAGTAACAAGGTGTACTTACACTTGCATGTCCAGTAACAAGGTGTACTTACACTTGCATGTCCAGTAACAAGGTGTACTTACACTTGCATGTCCAGTAACAAGGTGTACTTACACTTGCATGTCCAGTAACAAGGTGTACTTACACTTTCATGGCCAGTAAAAAGGTGTACTTACACTTTCATGGCCAGTAAAAAGGTGTACTTACACTTGCATGTCCAGTAACAAGGTGTACTTACACTTGCATGTCCAGTAACAAGGTGTACTTACACTTGCATGTCTAGTAACAAGGTGTACTTACACTTGCATGTCCAGTGTCTGAGTGTCGAGGTGTACTTACACTTGCATGTCCAGTAACAAGGTGTTCTTACACTTGCATGTCCAGTAACAAGGTGTACTTACACTTGCATGTCCAGTGTCTGAGTGTCTGAGTGTCAAGGTGTACTTACACTTGCATTTCCAGTAACAAGGTGTACTTACACTTGCATGTCCAGTAACAAGGTGTACTTACACTTGCACGTCCAGTAACAAGGTGTACTTACACTTGCATGTCTAGTAACAAGGTGTACTTACACTTGCATGTCCAGTGTCTGAGTGTCAAGGTGTACTTACACTTGCATGTCCAGTAACAAGGTGTACTTACACTTGCATGTCCAGTAACAAGGTGTACTTACACTTGCATGTCCAGTAACAAGGTGTATTTACACTTGCATGTCTAGTAACAAGGTGTACTTACACTTGCATGTCCAGTAACAAGGTGTACTTACACTTGCATGTCCAGTGTCTGAGTGTCAAGGTGTACTTACACTTGCATGTCCAGTAACAAGGTGTACTTACACTTGCATGTCCAGTGTCTGAGTGTCAAGGTGTACTTACACTTGCATGTCCAGTAACAAGGTGTACTTACACTTGCATGTCCAGTGTCTGAGTGTCAAGGTGTACTTACACTTGCATGTCCAGTAACAAGGTGTACTTACACTTGCATGCCCAGTAACAAGGTGTACTTACACTTGCATGTCCAGTAACAAGGTGTACTTACACTTGCATGTCCAGTAACAAGGTGTACTTACACTTGCATGTCCAGTAACAAGTTGTACTTACACTTGCATGGCCAGTGTCTGAGTGTCAAGGTGTACTTACACTTGCATGTCCAGTAACAAGGTGTACTTACACTTGCATGTCCAGTAACAAGGTGTACTTACACTTGCATGTCCAGTGTCTGAGTGTCAAGGTGTACTTACACTTGCATGTCCAGTAACAAGGTGTACTTACACTTGCATGTCCAGTAACAAGGTGTACTTACACTTGCATGTCCAGTAACAAGGTGTACTTACACTTGCATGTCTAGTAACAAGGTGTACTTACACTTGCATGTCCAGTAAAAAGGTGTACTTACACTTGCATGTCCAGTAACAAGGTGTACTTACACTTGCATGTCCAGTAACAAGGTGTACTTACACTTGCATGTCCAGTGTCTGAGTGTCAAGGTGTACTTACACTTTCATGGCCAGTAAAAAGGTGGATTTACACTTGCATGTCCAGTAAAAAGGTGTACTTACACTTGCATGTCCAGTAACAAGGTGTACTTACACTTGCATGTCCAGTGTCTGAGTGTCAAGGTGTACTTACACTTGCATGTCCAGTAACAAGGTGTACTTACACTTGCATGTCCAGTAACAAGGTGTACATACACTTGCATGTCCAGTAACAAGGTGTACTTACACTTGCATGTCCAGTAACAAGGTGTACTTACACTTGCATGTCCAGTAACAAGGTGTATTTACACTTGCATGTCCAGTAACAAGGTGTACTTACACTTGCATGTCCAGTGTCTGAGTGTCAAGGTGTACTTACACTTGCATGTCCAGTAACAAGGTGTACTTACACTTGCATGTCCAGTAACAAGGTGTACATACACTTGCATGTCCAGTAACAAGGTGTACTTACACTTGCATGTCCAGTAACAAGGTGTACTTACACTTGCATGTCCAGTAACAAGGTGTATTTACACTTGCATGTCCAGTAACAAGGTGTACTTACACTTGCATGTCCAGTAACAAGGTGTACTTACACTTGCATGTCCAGTAACAAGGTGTACATACACTTGCATGTCCAGTAACAAGGTGTACTTACACTTGCATGTCCAGTAACAAGGTGTACTTACACTTGCATGTCCAGTAACAAGGTGTACTTACACTTGCATGTCTAGTAACAAGGTGTACTTACACTTGCATGTCCAGTAACAAGGTGTACTTACACTTGCATGTCCAGTAACAAGGTGTACTTACACTTGCATGTCCAGTAACAAGGTGTACTTACACTTGCATGTCCAGTAACAAGGTGTACTTACACTTGCATGTCCAGTAACAAGGTGTACTTACACTTTCATGGCCAGTAAAAAGGTGTACTTACACTTTCATGGCCAGTAAAAAGGTGTACTTACACTTGCATGTCCAGTAACAAGGTGTACTTACACTTGCATGTCCAGTAACAAGGTGTACTTACACTTGCATGTCCAGTAACAAGGTGTACTTACACTTGCATGTCCAGTAACAAGGTGTACTTACACTTGCATGTCTAGTAACAAGGTGTACTTACACTTGCATATCCAGTGTCTGAGTGTCAAGGTGTACTTACACTTGCATGTCCAGTAACAAGGTGTTCTTACACTTGCATGTCCAGTAACAAGGTGTACTTACACTTGCATGTCCAGTGTCTGAGTGTCTGAGTGTCAAGGTGTACTTACACTTGCATTTCCAGTAACAAGGTGTACTTACACTTGCATGTCCAGTAACAAGGTGTACTTACACTTGCATGTCCAGTAACAAGGTGTACTTACACTTGCATGTCTAGTAACAAGGTGTACTTACACTTGCATGTCCAGTGTCTGAGTGTCAAGGTGTACTTACACTTGCATGTCCAGTAACAAGGTGTACTTACACTTGCATGTCCAGTAACAAGGTGTACTTACACTTGCATGTCCAGTAACAAGGTGTATTTACACTTGCATGTCTAGTAACAAGGTGTACTTACACTTGCATGTCCAGTAACAAGGTGTACTTACACTTGCATGTCCAGTGTCTGAGTGTCAAGGTGTACTTACACTTGCATGTCCAGTAACAAGGTGTACTTACACTTGCATGTCCAGTGTCTGAGTGTCAAGGTGTACTTACACTTGCATGTCCAGTAACAAGGTGTACTTACACTTGCATGTCCAGTGTCTGAGTGTCAAGGTGTACTTACACTTGCATGTCCAGTAACAAGGTGTACTTACACTTGCATGTCCAGTAACAAGGTGTACTTACACTTGTATGTCCAGTAACAAGGTGTACTTACACTTGCATGTCCAGTAACAAGGTGTACTTACACTTGCATGTCCAGTAACAAGGTGTACTTACACTTGCATGTCCAGTAACAAGGTGTACTTACACTTGCATGTCCAGTAACAAGGTGTACTTACACTTGCATGTCCAGTGTCTGAGTGTCAAGGTGTACTTACACTTGCATGTCCAGTAAAAAGGTGTACTTACACTTGCATGTCCAGTAACAAGATGTACTTACACTTGCATGTCCAGTAAGAAGGTGTACTTACACTTGCATGTCTAGTAACAAGGTGTACTTACACTTGCATGTCCAGTGTCTGAGTGTCAAGGTGTACTTACACTTGCATGTCCAGTAACAAGGTGTACTTACACTTGCATGTCCAGTAACAAGGTGTACTTACACTTGCATGTCCAGTAACAAGGTGTATTTACACTTGCATGTCCAGTAACAAGGTGTACTTACACTTGCATGTCCAGTGTCTGAGTGTCAAGGTGTACTTACACTTGCATGTCCAGTAACAAGGTGTACTTACACTTGCATGTCCAGTGTCTGAGTGTCAAGGTGTACTTACACTTGCATGTCCAGTAACAAGGTGTACTTACACTTGCATGTCCAGTGTCTGAGTGTCAAGGTGTACTTACACTTGCATGTCCAGTAACAAGGTGTACTTACACTTGCATGTCCAGTAACAAGGTGTACTTACACTTGTATGTCCAGTAACAAGGTGTATTTACACTTGCATGTCCAGTAACAAGGTGTACTTACACTTGCATGTCCAGTAACAAGGTGTACTTACACTTGCATGTCCAGTGTCTGAGTGTCAAGGTGTACTTACACTTGCATGTCCAGTAACAAGGTGTACTTACACTTGCATGTCCAGTAAAAAGGTGTACTTACACTTGCATGTCCAGTGTCTGAGTGTCAAGGTGTACTTACACTTGCATGTCCAGTAACAAGGTGTACTTACACTTGCATGTCCAGTAACAAGGTGTACTTACACTTGCATGTCCAGTAACAAGGTGTATTTACACTTGCATGTCCAGTAACAAGGTGTACTTACACTTGCATGTCCAGTGTCTGAGTGTCAAGGTGTACTTACACTTGCATGTCCAGTAACAAGGTGTACTTACACTTGCATGTCCAGTAAAAAGGTGTACTTACACTTGCATGTCTAGTAACAAGGTGTACTTACACTTGCATGTCCAGTGTCTGAGTGTCAAGGTGTACTTACACTTGCATGTCCAGTAACAAGGTGTACTTACACCTGCATGTCCAGTAACAAGGTGTACTTACACTTGCATGTCCAGTAACAAGGTGTACTTACACTTGCATGTCTAGTAACAAGGTGTACTTACACTTGCATGTCCAGTAACAAGGTGTACTTACACTTGCATGTCCAGTAACAAGGTGTACTTACACTTGCATGGCCAGTAAAAAGGTGTACTTACACTTTCATGGCCAGTAAAAAGGTGTATTTACACTTGCATGTCCAGTAAAAAGGTGTACTTACACTTGCATGTCCAGTAACAAGGTGTACTTACACTTGCATGTCCAGTAACAAGGTGTACTTACACTTGCATGTCCAGTGTCTGAGTGTCAAGGTGTACTTACACTTGCATGTCCAGTAACAAGGGGTACTTACACTTGCATGTCCAGTGTCTGAGTGTCAAGGTGTACTTACACTTGCATGTCCAGTAACAAGGTGTACTTACACTTGCATGTCCAGTAACAAGGTGTACTTACACTTGCATGTCCAGTAACAAGGTGTACTTACACTTGCATGTCCAGTAACAAGGTGTACTTACACTTGCATGTCCAGTAACAAGGTGTACTTACACTTGCATGTCCAGTAACAAGGTGTACTTAAACTTGCATGTCCAATAACAAGGTCTACTTGCATGTCCAGTGTCTGAGTGTCAAGGCGTACTTACACTTGCATGTGCCAGTGCCCTTCGACGTGCTAGTTTCTCCTCCAGTAGCATCCTCTGGCGTGAGATCTCCTCATCGTACATGCGATGGAGTCTCTCTTGTTGTTTTGCATGCTCCTTCAGCAGCCAGTCTGCTTGTTGTAGATCCAACTGACCCATGGCACATGTGTTGTTCAGAAAGTACTGCTGTTCTTCTTTGATACCCATCCGTTTCCGAATAGCAAATTCCTGCACAATAAACACAGTGCTATTTATGTATATGATGCCCAATCACATACAGTTCTGTATCTGTTTCATTGTATCTTCACATCTAGTTTCAGAAACATTTGCTACAGGAATCAATGGTTCACTATCACATGTGCAGAAGTTCTCAAACCTTTCTGAGTTTTTCTCCCTCCTCGTTCTGCTCGAGTGCCAGGATGTAGGTGAGCTCATTCTCCTCCGTCTGGTGCTGCTGGTCCAGCAGAGACAGCAAAACCTCCTTCTCCTGGAGACACAATCACATACTGCATCACATGTACATCAAACAACGGGAGGTATGGCTAGATCAGTCTGCTGGCCTTCTCCTGGAGACACAATCACATACTGCATCACATGTACATCAAACAACGGGAGGTATGGCTAGATCAGTCTGCTGGCCTTCTCCTTGAGACACAACCACATACTGCATCACATGTACATCAAACAACGGGAGGTATGGCTAGATCAGTCTGCTGGCCTTCTCCTGGAGACACAACCACATACTGCATCCCATGTACATCAAACAACGGGAGGTATGGCTAGATCAGTCTGCTGGCCTTCTCCTTGAGACACAACCACATACTGCATCACATGTACATCAAACAACGGGAGGTATGGCTAGATCAGTCTGCTGGCCTTCTCCTTGAGACACAACCACATACTGCATCCCATGTACATCAAACAACGGGAGGTATGGCTAGATCAGTCTGCTGGCCTTCTCCTGGAGACACAATCACATACTGCATCCCATGTACATCAAACAACGGGAGGTATGGCTAGATCAGTCTGCTGACCTTCTCCTGGAGACACAATCACATACTGCATCACATGTACATCAAACAACGGGAGGTATGGCTAGATCAGTCTGCTGGCCTTCTCCTGGAGACACAATCACATACTGCATCCCATGTACATCAAACAACGGGAGGTATGGCTAGATCAGTCTGCTGACCTTCTCCTGGAGACACAATCACATACTGCATCACATGTACATCAAACAACGGGAGGTATGGCTAGATCAGTCTGCTGACCTTCTCCTGGAGACACAACCACATACTGCATACACAAATCCTTTGTTTCCATTATGTTTGGGTGTCTTACCTCATCAGTGGAGTCCCTGGTCATATTCATAGCATCTGCTTTCTCCTGCTTGTGTCGTGCCATCATTTTGCTGAACCTCTCCTGCAATACACACTTAAAATGTCACACACATCTGTCCAGTTTGTTTGCTGTTTAACGGCACACTCAGAACTAGACCAGCTATAAGACAGTGGCCTGTAATTAATTGTGTCTTGACCAGACAATGCAAAAACCAATATTGAAAGCAAAGATCCAGTACAACATGTGTCCAGTACATCTGTTCAGGACAACATCCATCCAGTACCACATGTGTCCAGTACATCTGTCCAGTACAACAACCATCCATCCGGTACCACATGTGTCCAGTACATCTGTCCAGTACAACATCCATCCAGTACCACATGTGACCAGTACATCTGTCCAGTACCACATCCATCCAGTACCACACGTGTCCAGTACATCTGTCCAGTACAACATCCATCGAGTACCACATGTGTCCAGTACATCTGTCCAGTACAACATCCATCAATCCAGTACCACATGTGTCCAGTACATCTGTCCAGTACAACATCCATCCAGTACCACATGTGTCCAGTACATCTGTCCAGTACAACATCCATCCAGTACCACATGTGTCCAGTACATCTGTCCAGTACAACATCCATCCAGTACCACATGTGTCCAGTACATCTGTCCAGCACAACATCCATCCATCCAGTACCACATGTGTCCAGTACATCTGTCCAGTACAACATCCATCCAGTACCACATGTGTCCAGTACATCTGTCCAGTACAACATCCATCCAGTACCACATGTGTCCAGTACATCTGTCCAGCACAACATCCATCCATCCAGTACCACATGTGTCCAGTACATCTGTCCAGTACAACATCCATCCAGTACCACATGTGTCCAGTACATCTGTCCAGTACAACATCCATCCAGTACCACATGTGTCCAGTACATCTGTCCAGCCCAACATCAATCCAGTACCACATGTGACCAGTACATCTGTCCAGTACAACATCCATCCATCCAGTACCACATGTGTCCAGTACATCTGTCCAGTACAACATCCATCCAGTACCACATGTGTCCAGTACATCTGTCCAGCACAATATCCATCCATCCAGTACCACATGTGTCCAGTACATCTGTCCAGCCAAACATCCATCCAGTACCACATGTTTCCAGTACATCTGTCCAGTATAACATCCATCCAGTACCAGATGTGACCAGTACATCTGTCCAGTACATCTGTCCACATGGTCCAGTACAACATCCATCCATCCAGTACCACATGTGTCCAGTACATCTGTCCAGCACAATATCCATCCATCCAGTACCACATGTGACCATTACATCTGTACAGCACAATATCCATCCATCCAGTACCACATGTGTCCAGTACATCTGTCCAGTACAACATCCATCCAGTACCACATGTGTCCAGTACATCTGTCCAGCACAATATCCATCCATCCAGTACCACATGTGTCCAGTACATCTGTCCAGCACAATATCCATCCATCCAGTACCACATGTGTCCAGTACATCTGTCCAGCACAATATCCATCCATCCAGTACCACATGTGTCCAGTACATCTGTCCAGCCCAACATCCATCCAGTACCATATGTGACCAGTACATCTGTCCAGTACAACATCCATCCATCCAGTACCACATGTGTCCAGTACATCAGTCCAGCCCAACATCCATCCAGGACCACATGTGTCCAGTACATCTGTCCAGTACAACACCCATCCAGTACCACATGTGTCCAGTACATCTGTCCAGCACAATATCCATCCATCCAGTACCACATGTGTCTAGTACATCTGTCCAGCCCAACATCCATCCAGTACCACATGTGTCCAGTACATCTGTCCAGGACAACATCCATCCAGTACCACATGTGTCCAGTACATCTGTCCAGTACAACATCCATCCATCCAGTACCACATGTGTCGAGTACATCAGTCCAGTACAACATCCATCCAGTACCACATGTGAGTGAGTGAGTGAGTGAGTGAGTATGGTTTTACGCCGCTTTTAGCAATATTCCAGCAATATCACGGCGGGGGACACCAGAAATGGGCTTCACACATTGTACCCATGTCGGGAAACGAACCCAGGTCTTCGGCGTGACTAGCAAACGCTTTAACCACTAGGCTACCCGACCGCCCCCAGTACCACATGTGACCAGTACATCTGTCCAGCACAATATCCATCCATCCAGTACCACATGTGTCCAATACATCTGTCCAGTACAACATCCATCCAGTACCACATGTGTCCAGTACATCTGTCCAGCACAATATCCATCCATCCAGTACCACATGTGTCCAGTACATCTGTCCAGCCCAAATCCATCCAGTACCACATGTGTCCAGTACATCTGTCCAGTACAACATCCATCCATCCAGTACCACATGTGTCCAGTACATCGGTCCAAGACAAACTCCATCCAGTACCACATGTGACCAGTACATCTGTCCAGTACAACATCCATCCATCCGGTACCACATGTGTCCAGTACATCAGTCCAGTACAACATCCATCCAGTACCACATGTGACCAGTACATCTGTCCAGCACAATATCCATCCATCCAGTACCACATGTGTCCAGTACATCTGTCCAGCCCAACATCCATCCAGTACCACGTGTGACCAGTACATCTGTCCAGTACAACATCCATCCATCCAGTACCACATATGTCCAGTACATCTGTCCAGCCCAACATCCATCCAGTACCACATGTGACCAGTACATCTGTCCAGTACAACATCCATCCATCCGGTACCACATGTGTCCAGTACATCTGTCCAGTACAGCATCCATCCAGTACCACATGTGTCCAGTACATCTGTCCAGCACAATATCCATCCATCCAGTACCACATGTGTCCAGTACATCTGTCCAGCCCAACATCCATCCAGTACCACGTGTGACCAGTACATCTGTCCAGTACAACATCCATCCATCCAGTACCACATATGTCCAGTACATCTGTCCAGCCCAACATCCATCCAGTACCACATGTGACCAGTACATCTGTCCAGTACAACATCCATCCATCCAGTACCACATGTGTCCAGTACATCTGTCCAGTACAACATCCATCCAGTACCACATGTGTCCAGTACATCTGTCCAGCACAATATCCATCCATCCAGTACCACATGTGTCCAGTACATCTGTCCAGTACAACATCCATCCAGTACCACATGTGTCCAGTACATCTGTCCAGCACAATATCCATCCATCCAGTACCACATGTGTCCAGTACATCTGTCCAGCCCAACATCCATCCAGTACCACATGTGACCAGTACATCTGTCCAGTACAACATCCATCCATCCAGTACCACATGTGTCCAGTACATCTGTCCAGGACAACATCCATCCAGTACCACATGTGTCCAGTACATCTGTCCAGTACAACATCCATCCAGCACAATATCCATCCATCAAGTACCACATGTGTCCAGTACGTCTGTCCAGTACAACATCCATCCAGTACCACATGTGTCCAGTACATCTGTCCAGTACAACATCCATCCAGTACCACATGTGTCCAGTACATCTCTCTAGCACAATATCCATCCATCCAGTACCACATGTGTCCAGTACATCTGTCCAGCCCACCATCCATCCAGTACCACATGTGACCAGTACATCTGTCCAGTACAACATCCATCCATCCAGTACCACATGTGTCCAGTACATCTGTCCAGTACAACATCCATCCAGTACCACATGTGTCCAGTACATCTGTCCAGTACAACATCCATCCAGTACCACATGTGTCCAGTACATCTGTTCAGTACAACATCTGAACTCCATCTCAGTAAAAAGTTGTCTACTTTTCCTTTTATTTTGATGTTTACTCTCATAGACGACAACCCGTGAATGTCCGGGGTAGAATAGGTCTTCAGCAACCCATTCTTGCTGTAAAAGGTGACCGTGCTTGTCATAAGAGGCAACTAACGGGATTGATGGTCAGGCTTGCTGACTTGGTTGATGCGTGTCATCGTATCCCAATTGCGTGGATCATGATGTCAATCACTAGATTGTCTGGTCCAGACTTGATTATTTACAGACTGCCATCATATAGCTGGAAAATTGCTGAGTGCAGCATTAAACAACAAACAAACAAACAACAACAAAAGTCCAAGACGCAAAAAAAATTCACACAAGACAATTTCTTTGTGCTTTTTCTTTCTCTCAGCCATGGCAGCAGATTGGTTATGTCGTAGAGTAAAAGTTGGGAGGTTGTACCCCAGGAATCTCTTGACTGATTTTATTGTATGTTTGGTCTTGTAAGGATTCATTTAAGTGAAGAATATTACCATGATAAGAGGAAGTAAACTTTACTTTTGCAAGAGGGTGCAAGTGAAAAGGAGAATTGTATCAGCCAATACACTTGTGGTTTTACCGTTTAAGCAATAATTAAACACCATGGCCACAGGACCAGGAATAGGGTAGAAATACTACACATACATGGTACTATGAAGCAGTGTCTACTGCTCCTGCACACTAAAGCAAGCTGTCACCTTGTTTTTAGCACTGAGGTCCTTGTACACCTCCTCCATTGCCTTCTTAAATTCAGCCTCCAAATGCCGATCCAGTTCTTGCAGACGAGCTTTGAAGTCAGTGACCACCTTGTTTTCTGTCTGTGGACTGATATCGCCGTTGTGTCTGAGACTCTGGATCAACAGTTGTGATGTCTGAATAGCTGCATCATTCTGCTCCTTCTCAATGTCAGTGTCCACGTAGATGGTGGACAAGATGTCAAGGCTGCAGCAGCAAGACATGACACAAGTTGGCACTGTAGCCCAATCAGATGCACCACACACATCACAAACCCATAGCTGCTGTATATATTATACTACACCATCAATAACCAGTGGATAAAATACTGGCAGATCAAATAGTCCATGACAAAACTGAAGAATTATGATTAATGTTTATCATTTCATTCCAATCAAGGCATGAAAAACAAAACTTGTTGTATGAAGTGATTCCCCCAAGTAATAGCTCTTTAAAAAGAAGAAGTAACAGTTGGGTGGGTTTCTCTGTAAATAATTTGGTTTCCTGATGTACACAAACCCAAACATTCAATGAAGTGTAATAAAACTAAAATGTTGAACACAGTATCTCTTTCTTCCTGGCAAGTCGGCTAATTTCCTCAGAATGTTTTAGTAATATTCAGTATGGTATGTGTTAATGGGTTTTGTGCATTAAAAGCATTTCTAAAAAACTTGGAACTTTTTATTCTTATTTTCACACTAAAATTTACCATTTAAACTGATGTGATCATGATAACATCATTTTTCATACAGGACATGGGGTGTTATACAGGACATTGGGTGTTATACAGGACATGGGGTGTTATACAGGACATGGGGTGTTATACAGGACATTGGGTGTTATACAGGACATGGGGTGTTATGGAAGACATGGGGTGTTATACAGGACATGGGGTGTTATACAGGACACGGGGTGTTAAACAGGAGATGGGGTGTTGTACAGGACATGGAGTGTTATACAGGACATGGGGTGTTATACAGGACATGGGGTGTTATACAGGACATGGGGTGTTATACAGGACATTGGGTGTTATACAGGACATGGGGTGTTATGGAAGACATGGGGTGTTATACAGGACATGGGGTGTTATACAGGACACGGGGTGTTAAACAGGAGATGGGGTGTTGTACAGGACATGGAGTGTTATACAGGACATGGGGTGTTATACAGGACATGGGGTGTTATACAGGACATGGAGTGTTATACAGGACATGGGGTGTTATACAGGACATGGGGTGTTATACAGGACATGGGGTGTTACACAGATAATGGGGTGTTATACAGGACATGGGGTGTTATACAGGACATGGGGTGTTATACAGGACATGGGGTGTTGTACATGACATTGGGTGTTATACAGGACATGCGGTGATGTACAAGACACGTGGTGTTATACAGGATATGGGGTGTTATACAGGACATGGGGTGTTACACAGATTATGGGGTGTTATACAGGACATGGGGTGTTATACAGGACATGTGGTGTTATACAGGACATGTGCTGTTATACAGGACATTGGGTGTTATACAGGACATGCAGTGTTATACAGGACATGGGGTGTTGTACAAGACATGTGGTGTTATACAGGATATGGGGTGTTATACAGGACATGTGGTGTTATACAGGACATGGGGTGTTATACATGACATGTGGTGTTGTACAGGACATGTGGTGTTATACAGGATATGGGGTGTTATACAGGACATGTGGTGTTATACAGGACATGGGGTGTTGTACATGACATGGGGTGTTATACAGGACACGGGGTGTTATACAGGACATGGGGTGTTATACAGGACATGGGGTGTTGTACATGACATGTGGTGTTGTACAAGACATGTGGTGTTATACAGGACATGTGGTGTTATACAGGATATGGGATGTTATACAGGACATGTGGTGTTATACAGGACATGGGGTGTTGTACATGACATGGGGTGTTATACAGGACACGGGGTGTTATACAGGACATGGGGTGTTATACAGGACATGGGGTGTTGTAAATGACATGTGGTGTTGTACAAGACATGTGGTGTTATACAGGACATGTGGTGTTATACAGGATATGGGATGTTATACAGGACATGTGGTGTTATACAGGACATGGGGTGTTGTACAAGACATGTGGTGTTATACAGGACATGTGGTGTTATACATGACATGTGGTGTTGTACAAGACATGTGGTGTTATACAGGACATGTGGTGTTATACAGGATATGGGATGTTATACAGGACATGTGGTGTTATACAGGACATGGGGTGTTATACAGGACACGGGTTGTTATACAGGACACGGGTTGTTATACAGGACATGGGGTGTTATACAGGACAATGGGTGTTATACAGGATATGGGGTGTTATACAGGACATGGGGTGTTAAACAGGACGTGGGGTGTTATACAGGACATGGGGTATTATACAGGACATGGGGTGATGTACAGGACATGGGTGTTATGCAACACGTTGAGTGTTATGCAGGACATGGGGTGTTATACAGGACATTGGGTGTTATAAAGGACATGGGGTGTTATACAGGACATGGGGTGTTATGCAAGACACTGGGTGTTATACGAACATGGGGTTTTATGCAAGACAATGGGTGTTATACAGGACATGGGGTGTTATACAGAATATGGGGTGTTATACAAGAGATGGGGTGTTATACAAGACATGGGGTGTTATACAGGACATTGGGTGTTATACAGGACATGGGGTGTTATACAGGACATGGGGTGTTATACAAGACATGGGGTGTTATGCAAGACATGGGGTGTTATACAGGATATGGGGTGTTATACAGGAGATGGGGTGTTGTACAGGACATCGGGTGTTATACAGGACATGGAGTGTTATACAGGACATAGGATGTTATACAGGATATGGGGTGTTATACAGGATATGGGGTGTTATACAGGACATGGGGTGTTATACAGGACATGGGGTGTTATACAGGACACGGGTTGTTATACAGGATATGGGGTGTTATACAGGACATGGGGTGTTATACAGGACACGGGGTGTTAAACAGGACATGGGGTGTTATACAGGACATGGGGTATTATACAGGACATGGGGTGTTGTACAGCAAAATAAATGATGTTGACTTTTTAACTTACATCAGTAAATTTGATATTGTGTGCCTTGTTGAGACATTTGTTGTAAATATTCCAGGAAAACATTGGCTACATGGATATGATACTTTTTACTGTCCTGCAGTTAAGTTATCCAACTATGGACGTTTATCAGGTGGTATTTGTCTGTGTGTACGTCAATCACTGAGTAGTTTCTGTAATGTTATACAAGCAGATAGAGACAACATAATTGGTCTCTCGTTATCTAAAGATTTATTTAGAATAGACAAAAATGTGAATTTGTTATGTACCTATATCCCTCCAATGGGGTCTCCTTATTATAATCATGTAAACACCAATAGTAACATTGTAAAAGTAGAAGAATTCTTAATAGATAATGATGAAATGTTTTCAAATTCATACAATTTAATCTGTGGAGATATGAACGCTAGAACAGGTGAGAGAAATAACCCTGATATTAGCAATAATGATGATAGCTTCAATCATATCGCCCCTTTCCCTGAGGAGGAGGATGACCCTGTTGAGGATCGTACTTCACAGGATACAGTTGTAAATAGATTTGGTCAAATGTTGTTGGATTTATGCTATGTTTTTAAACTTTACATCGTAAATGGACGTGTATATGGTGATACTAATGGGGAATTTACTTATTGTAGCCAACATGGATCTAGTGTGAACGATTATTTTATAAGTTCACCAGATTTTTTTCAGTTTATCAATATGTTCACTGTCGGGGATCGATCTGATTCTGATCACTTTCCATTAGAATTGATGTGTAGATTTCCAAATATGGGTAAGAGGTGCAATAATGATTCATGTATGGATCCACAAGCATCAGAGAAAATTGTATGGAATGATCATTACTCCAGTTTGTTTCTTGATAACCTGAGATATAATTTTACTGAAAACAAAGAAATGGTCCTTAAAGAAATTGATAATGCTATTGAAAACGCAATTAGCCACTTTGTCGACATTGTATTAGACTCTGCTAACTGCATGAAAAAGACAATACGACATAATCCACAATTTGCCAATCACAAACCACTAAGTCTAGAATGTAGACAAGCGAAACGAGAAACACGTAGGGCACTTAGGAGATTTAGAACACAAAGAACAGTCGCTAACAGAATTGTGTACTGTAGACAAAGAAATCATTATAAATTTTGTTGCAGAAAATTTAAATCCATTTCACGTAAGAAATCAGTTGAAAGATTGCATAGAAGCATAAATAGTCAATCTAGCTTTTGGAAACAGATAAGATCATTACAAAACAAACCCAGACAGAAGAATCATATAACGAAAGCAGAATGGCTGTGCCATTTTAGAGAGGTTTTTGCAAATGACAATGTTTTTTCTCCTCACTTAGATGATGAAAATGAACTCAGTTCAAATCAGTTTACAGATATTGATGCATTCATACTAAATTCTACGATAACTGAACATGAAATTACATCATCAATAAATAAGTTAAAAAAAGGAAAATCCGCCGGACCCGATCAAGTGCTGATAGAAATGCTTAAATGTTCCCAATTAGATATTATGCCATTTCTTCATAAATGTTTCAACAAACTCTTTGATAATCAAATATTTCCAAACAGTTGGTCTTGTTCAGAAATAGTCCCTCTACATAAAAAAGGCGATCCGAGAAACCCTGACAACTACAGGGGGATCTCATTAATGAGTGTTCTGGGGAAAATTTTTACCTCTGTTTTGAATAACAGGCTTACTAACTGGGCAAATATGAGAGATAAGATACCGGAAGTTCAAGCTGGTTTTAGAAAAAATTATTCAACCGTAGATCATATTTTTACATTATATGCTGCAATTCAAAAATGTCTAACACGTCGTAAACACAAGGTTTACGTTGCTTTTATTGATTTTAAAAAGGCATTTGATACAGTTGATCGTTATAAATTATGGTGTTGTTTAAGAAAAGCTGGACTACAAGGGAAGATGTTTAATATAATACAATCAATGTATTCAAATATCAAGTCATGTGTACGTAGTGATTATGGTGTTACTGATTTTATCGATTGCCCATCTGGTTTACGTCAGGGATGTATACTGAGTCCTCTGTTATTTTCGTTTTTCATAAGCGAATTATATTATGAAATCTCAAGTAACGGCAAGCATGGTATACAGATGTATCCTGACATCCTTGAACTTCTTATGCTCCTTTTTGCCGATGATGTTATTTTACTATCTGACACTGTTATTGGTCTACAGAATCAGTTGAATGTATTAGATAAATATACTAAGGAATGGAATTTATCTGTAAATTTAGATAAGACAGAAATTATAGTATTCAGAAAAGGGGGTCCTTTAAATTTTAGGGAAAGATGGTACTTAAATGGACAACAAATTAATGTAGTTAATGGTTATAAGTATCTCGGCATAATGTTTAATTCAACACTAAATATGAACAAATGTGTATCTGACTTATCACTGCGAGGGAAACGAGCTTTACTTAATATAATGTCTGTTTCACATAAACTTGGAGTTATTACTCCAAAAGTATTTTTCAAATTATTTGATACTCAAATACAGCCAATTTTATTGTATGGATCTGAAGTGTGGGGTTACCGAAGATATGAATGTTTAGAAAGAATTCACCTACTGGCATGTAAAAAGTTTCTTCGCGTTGGAATAGCAACACCAAATAATATGATATATGGAGAATGTGGAAGATACCCACTTTACATTAATTCACAAATAAAGTGTTTAAAATATTGGTTTAATATCATCCGTATGCCAGAACATCGGCTTCCGAAAAAAGCTTATAACATGCTCTTTCATTTAGATAGTATCGGTAAGGTTACATGGGTATCGCATATTAGGACACTATTATTCTCACATGGATATGGGTATATATGGCTTAACCAATCTGTTGGTGATCAACATTTATTTCTAAATGATTTTCGTAAAATAGCAATAAATATGTTCTATCAAGGGTGGCAATGCAACTTGGAAAATAGTTCACGTTATGATTTGTACAGAACATTTAAGACTCTATTAGAGCCAGAAAAATATCTATCAGTTTTAACAAATAGTCACCTAAGAAATGGATATATTAAATACAGACTTGGCTTGTCAAAACTTATGATTAACTATGGACGGAATATATCACTTGAAAGAATACAAAGAATTTGTCCATTCTGTAACTCTGCAATAGAAGACGAAATACATTTTACCTTTGAATGTCCTTATTATGCAGAATTACGTACTAAATATATACCAGAATGTTTCTTATCTAAGACAAGTAGAATAGCTTTTGTTTCTATTTTGTCATCGAATGATGCCGATGTAATGTTTAAACTGTCTTTATTTGTAAAACATGGGATGGAACTACGAAATAACATGTTGAGTGGAAATTCATAATTTTAATTACCTCACCCTAGAAAGTCCTCATGATTATCACCGATTGTTAAATGAATGTTATATTTATATAATTTTTGTTGTATCTCCCAATCTGTAAATTCTCACCCACTGTATTTATCTGAACTTGTATATGGGCCGATGGCCTTTGATACAATAAACATCTTTGATCTTTGATCTACAGGACATGGGTGTGATACAGGACATGGGTCGTTATACAGGACATGGGGTGTTATACAGGACATGGGGTGTTATACAGGACATGGGGTGTTATACAGGACATTGGGGGTTATAAAGGACTTGGGGTGTTATACAGGACATGGGGTGTTATGCAAGACACTGGGTGTTATACAGGACATGGGGTTTTATGCAAGACATTGGGTGTTATACATGACATGGGGCATCATACAATATACAGGACATGGGGTGTTATACAGGACATGGGGTGTTATACAGGACATGGGGTGTTATACAAGACATGGGGTGTTATACAAGACATGGGATGTTATACAGGACATGGGGTGTTATACAGGACATGGGGTGTTATACAGGACATGGGGTGTTATACAGGCCTTTGGGTGTTATACAGGACATGGGGTGTTATACAGGACATGGGGTGTTATACAAGACACGGTGTGTAAAACAGGACATGGGGTGTCATACAGGATATTAGGGCTGGGCCAGGTTACTAGGGTACCCGCGTCGGATGGGTCCTGAGTAGGACCCGGGTACCCACAGGACTACCCGGACCTGTGGTTTGTCAAGTGATATATATTGTTTGATGACAAAAAATATCTAAAACTCTATGGTTACACTATAAGTTACTAATAAATATCCCAATTCTTTCTGACAATGCACCCATTCCTTCTGACTTTTATATGTTTGAATAACGATAAAACTTCATACATTAAACTTCAGTGTATGCATGAGTATACACGTGTATCTGAAAACATTTTGACAGGGCTAAGGTCAAACTTTTTCCAAATCGGACAATTTGTACCTATCTCCTGGTAGGGTCAGGTAATAGGGAGGTGGGTACCCTGGTAGTAAATTTGGACCCGTCCCAACCCTACAGGATATGATGTAAGTTATACAGGATATGGGGTGTTATACAGGATATGAGTGAGTGAGTATGGTTTTACGCTGCTTTTAGCAATATTCCAGCAATATCACGGCGGGGGACACCAGAAATGGGCTTCACACATTGTACCCATGTCGGGAATTGAACCCGGGTCTTCGGCGTGACGAGCGAACGCTTTAACCACTAGGCTACCTGACTGCCCCATACAGGATATGATGTAAGTCATACAGGTCATGGGGTGTCATACAGGATATGATGTAAGTTATACAGGATATGGGGTGTTATACAGGATATGGGGTGTTATACAGGATATGGGGTGTTATACAGGACATGGGGTGTTATACAGGACATGGGGAGTCACACAGGACATATGGAAGTTATATTGGAGTATAGTTCAGGAATCTTATGTACAGACATAGGAACAAGAGGACTCACTTGTCTATCTCTCTGTACATCTGCAGCTTCTCCTTGAGGGACAGGATCAGTATGATGCTCTCATCCACTGCCAGCATGCTGCAATACACACATCTCCACACAATCACTACAAAGCTTTTGTTGCGTTAACACCAGTAAAATACAACATTCCACAACCATGACAACTGCATGCTTATGCACCAGTCACAACCATTATGAAAGGTTTGCTGGATTATGAAAATATAAGAAATTATTTATCTAAAAGTAAAATAAAAAAAACTAAATATATTTTTACCATGTTTACCAGAATGTCTTATTCAATGCTTGGGATGTGCTTCAGTTACATACACAATTGGGAAGTAACCTAACCTAAAATCCTTTATTGCATTTAATCCTTTCTTCATAGCAGCCTTGGCATCCATCACAATTTTTCGCCCTTTCTCTTTGAGTTTCTTCTTCTGTAAACATACATGCAGCATCAATGACATGGTGTACAATACCCACAAGGACCACCACATGTACACACAATATACCTGAGATGTGGCAGTGGTCAACTTCAGACAACACCTTAAAGTAACCCCATTTACATGGGGCTGCTTCATAATGCGTGAAAGAATTAGGTTTGTAGTTCTTGTCAGCCTTATTTCAGGCCACAATGAATCCTATGCAATATGGTACATGACACAAGGTGGCAGCAATTACTCACTGGATGAGCCTGCTGAATTACCTCTGTTCCCAATACAAGCAAGAGAGTGTTATCTGTAGTAGCTGCAAGAGACAGGGTATGTGTACTCACGTCACTGGCAGGCCCTGGTGCAACAGCTGCCAGACAACCTTTGTTCCTGCAGAACTTGAGCAGTATGAAGACAATGAGGATGATCAGGAGGAGCCCAATAATGAGCCCCAGGACAAAGCCCAGGCCTGTGAGACCATGCTGGTACAGGAGCTACAACACAACAACAAACTACAATACAGCTGAAAAATACAAAGGAATAATATGGAAACATTTGGTTATCAGTCTTGAATAAGAAGTCATACATATCCCCACCATTCTTGTCTGTGTATGTAACATGTGGCAATTTGCAGGATTTTGTTTCAAAGGGGAGAGCCCAAAATATATTATTATAAGGTTGCCTGGTGGTAGCACTTACAAGGGCAAGCATTTCTGCTTACATAACCTTATTTGGTATCATGGGGTTCTAAGAAGGTTTAAGTACAAGACTTATTCAGAACTTCTGAATCAGAAGTGTCTGCTAGTAATCTATTGTGTTAGGTGGCACACCAATTCAAGATGGACGTGCCAATGATGTACAAGGGGTGACTGAAAAGTGCTGAGCCTAACTCTAAAGGACTGCATTGATGGAGTAAGTTGCTAATCTTTTTCAACATAATCCACATCGAGCTCAACACACTTCTACAGCAATGCTGGAGTGCCTGGATCCTCCTGGTGGTGTCCTCCACAGCAGAAATGACATCAACATCATCTGCATAACGATTGCAAGACACGTCATTCTTCAAGGCTGGGAAGAGGTTGAAATCTGACGTGCTAAATCTGATGAATACGGAGGATGTTCAATACAATGAGTTCAAAGCCATAGTCATGCATTGCAGCCATGGCGAAAACTGCCTTGGTGCAGGCGATTGTCTTGAAAGAACAACACACATTTGGTGAGTCTTTTACAATGTTTAGCCTTGAAGGTATTCAGATCTTGGATCATCCTTCAGGTCTCTCAGTGGCAATTGGTAAATACTGATTGTGTCATGGAGGACACCAGGCTCACCACCTTGTGTTATACACTGTAACAGTTCCTTCATTTGGAATATGAAGTTTTACTCATATAGCTGACAAACAGTTAACTGTATAACATCGGTGGACATGTATCATGGTCTCCACCTTCTCATCAGAGCAATGCACCGCGGTAAGGCTGCTGAGTGCTGAAATTTTGTTATTCTTCCCCAACAAGTGGAAGCAATGACTGAATGGTAACTAAGGATCACACACCTGAATCCTGGCATATGCAAAATTAACAGTTGTGAATAGTTAGTCATAAATTTCAGTGAAGACGACAGGCACCAGTCCTAACAAGCCTGAGTAATTTGCCAATTTTCATGGAGATATGGCGAAAGGTTTATGAATTTGGCACAGGAAAAGCTTTAACGACATTTGAACTTGTTGCCATGGAAAAGCAAAAGGTGAAAATTTCAAAGATTTCTCAACAGCAAGTTTGAGCAGTAACTGCCTCATGCATATAAATACATATATAAACAGTTTACAGATATGAGTGTTGCCCTCATTGGAACCCAAATCCAACTTGTTGCCTTGGAAACATAAAAAATATTAAATAGTGTCTTGGGACTGTGGCTCACCTTGATATGCAGTCAACGGTTTAAAACGTAAACAAAGATTGCTGCTTAACAAAAGTTGCTGTAAGCACTAATATTCACATATTTTCTGCATTCTAAAACGTAATTCTAATGAACAAAACATGATGTAATCACAAGGAGGAACATATACATGCCAAAGTTCAGCTACTTCAGTCTGGCAATTGCAGAGCTGTGACGTTAACAGAACCAAAGGAGGATTTTGGGAAAATACAAAAGCACGGTCAAATAAAGGCCAAAATGTAAACTACTGCAAAAAACGGAATATACATGTTGAGCACCACTACTAGCAACCTATGTAGCACATTTCATTACATTTGAACAAAACTGACTGAGTAATGGTGTTTCATCATTGGTTGGAACAAGCTAGTGAAATTAAGCTTCCCTGGTCTTGAGGTTTCTGAGGAGATGATGTTTACAGTGAGAGGAAATGTAGTTTGAGAGAATTTAGAAGCAAGGTCCTGTGTGAAAATACTGTGAAAACAGAAACATGTGTTGAGCCCCACTCCTAACATTACTAACCACACAAAATCTCCTTACATTCTGAACAATAATGGCTCAGTATGCGTACATGACACTTATTATCATAAACTTCTTTTATTCTTTGTCATGACATTCTAAGCTACTTATTGCCCCTTCAACAGGTGACTACTGAGTAAGAGCATCAAGATAATATACATGATATACATTTTATATATTTATAGGATACAAAACAACTTCCCTTTTCATATAAAGTTTATGTTGTTTTTTTGTTTGTTTGTTGTTTAACGCCACACTCAGCTATATTCCAGCTATATGACGGCGGTCTGTAAACAATTGAGTCTGGACCAGACAATCCAGTGACTGACATGAGCATTGATCCACGCAATCGGGATACGATGACATGCATCAACCAAGTCAGAGAGTGTGACCACCCGATCCCGTTAGTCGCCTCCTACAACAATCATAGTCGCCTTTCACAGGTAGCATGTGTTGCTGAAGACCTATGAGATGAGAACTACATGAACTAGAGTTAACGGGAACATTCAAAACACAGTTTTTGAACGGCATTGCTGTTTATTCCTCAGCTAATTTTCGTCTGAAGACAAGTTGCTGTTTGATTGGGGACAAACACGTTGTCGGGTCATTGCGATCATATGTGTGACCCGAATCAACGCTGATATGGAAAACACCACCATATACAGGACCTGAAAACACAGTGCCATCAACTTCAAAATTGGAAGATTCCCATTGTGCTTTGACTTAGAGTGTTGTTTACATGTGAGATAGGTCCACAACTGGTCGTAGAGGGAATCTGGGCGAAGGCCGGAAGCACACATGTACTGGCCAAAGATACCACAGGTATTGAGCGTGACACGAGGATCTTGCTCATTTCTTGATGATGTTTGTCAGACACAGTGGCCAAAGAGTTGACAGAAGCAATGTTTTTGTGTCCAGACACTTGCATGACATGTAGGTGTGATGTTGTCATTATCATTGAGTGTCTGAAGCATGGTCTTACACGCACTATGGTTAGTCAGGCGTCGGTCGGTGGAAAAGTTTGCATGCTGGGCCATGTTTTTTAAGATTACTCCATGTTTATTTTTTCGCTTAAATGCTTTAACCAAGCCTCACCATCCCCTGGGGAACCCCCTTAGTGTGCGAAGCCAAATAGAAAGGGTGTTCAGAACAGGAGAAATAGTAGGGCGCAGGATTTTGTTCTTCTTGTTGAGTACAATGGGACATCGGTCGGGGTCGTTGGGTATGTATCATAACATTTTGTTATGTTACCCATTTACAAAGTACCATATGGGTAATAAACCTGATAACGATATGTTTACACAAGGTAGGATGAATGTACAAAGATGTACGATTAAGTAATGGCCGCAAGAAGTGTTTGAAGTGCAAAGGTCAGATCAAGGTCAAAATTTAAAAGTTTGCCAAAACAAAGGGCCCCACTACTAACTACATGTATCAATTTTCATTCCATTTTGAGTAATAGCCCTACATTGGTAGCTGTGGCGACCATCTTCAAATCAGATTTGAGCCTCTTGAACAAACTGGGGTGACATCATTGGTGGATACAAGCTTATGCAGTTTCACTTTCATGAGTTCAGTGGTTTCTGACTGAAGGAAGAGTCATCAGGAGATGACACATCCCCCTGGTCTGGTGCAATTCACAAATGGAGTTTGGCTACACTGTCATTGGATACCTTCAGTTGAGTGAAGAAAAAAAAAAGTTCAGTATTTTTCAATATCCCAAATCATCAAAAGGCACAAGTTCACCACTAGACTGATCTGTGTAGCAAGTTTCAACAAGAAATATTCAACAGTTTAGGAGTCAGGCTCGAGAAACGGAAAACAGATAATTGAGTAGTCAGTCCCCACACTTACATTTTCATCCATTTGATCAACCCTCAGTATGCATGCCTTTGTCTCAATAACCCTCACTAAGTTGCTGGTCTGAAAACACAAAAGAAAAGGCACTTACTACTGCAGATATAAAAGCACAGATTCGTGGAACATAGACAACAGACAATAGTTAAGGACACTCCAGCCAGTGTTACACCAGTTTAGTTTTGTAACAGGTACGCACTGATGATGCAGGTACAAAGAGATGAGGCCATTATAATGCCATCCTACAAAAAGCTGTTTATAACAAATCACTTTTTATAGTACTTGACTGCTTTATTATGTAATAATGTTATCAACAATTAATTCAACAATCTGATATAATATTTTGATACAAAAAAAATAGGAAACAGTAGCCTGTTAATGATGCCTATCCACTGATTTAGCAAGCAGGGATGCCATTCCTATGAATTTATTTGCATAATATGCCTGATATCAATGCAAATATGAACAACTTACATCAGAGAATGTGACAGTACTGGGATAGAAGCTGAAACTTTTTGGGAGCAATTCACCGTGATCTCCTGTTGGCTCCGCAAAGTACTCAAGGAGCAGGCTGCTGTTGGCTGCAACACATTTGATGAGCTGTTCAATGTATAATGCAAACAGAAGACCAGACAGCGGATCCACTCAGAGCAGTGATTGTCTTGTTAACATAGGCCTGGCTGTGACTGACATCTAGGATATCATTGTACAATACAATTAAAACTTGAAATTGGTGAGGACCGACATAAGTAGCTACAGAGGAGTCTGTCTAAATCGGACTTGTGTGGGTCCTCCAAGTAAGTCTTGAATTAGATAGAAATCTGCTTCCACCAAGCATTATGTCTCTAGGTGTCCTGCAACATGACCACTCAAGATCGAAGATGTGCACGTATACAACAGTTACAGTAAAACATAGAGTATTGAACATATCTTGTAGTCAAGAAGCTCTTGCAGTGGGGGCTGACAGTCTAAGACCGATAATGGAAGGTAAACAAGTTTTGAAGTCCTCCAAAATGTCAGCGTCCAACACCGGCACTTCCACCACTCACTTCACACAGTTGGATGTGAAGCTGGGTTTCCTCACATGTCAACAATCCATAGGGTGCTGTAAACTTTGCCAGTCCCAACAGGGTTAAAATTCCTTGTATGTTCCAATGGCACAGTTAAAATCCTAATGGCACATGTATAAGATAAAAGTGCATGAGCAGCACACTTACAAATCATACAAATAAATGTGACAAACACATAGAAAATGATGAACATATGAACTCGCTGAATGCGCAGCATGATTCACAAAATAACACTGTGTATAATGAACCTAATGAACAGGAAGGGGTCAAACTTTCTAAATTACAACTGCTCATTATCTAACTAATGACATTCACCAACGTTCAAGATGGATCAAAAATATTCTTCTAGTTGGCACACTTTTATTCCAAAGGGCAAATCTAACATGCCCTGTGACAAACTTGAAAAAAAAAAGCAGCTTCTATTTCTGCCCTAATTTCTGCGGAATCCAGAAAAGGTACTTTTAATGTGATGATAAATTAAAGCAGCATTGACAGAAATTTGGATTAGTCCCAGTCTGGATACACAGATTTTGCTGTATGATCACTGTCCATGAATAGTCCTTGAAAAATCTGTAACATATACATTATTATCACTGTTGACAACTTTAAAAATAAATGAATAGTTTGTTGAGATGTTGCTGATGGTTTGTTACGTTGTATCCAGCCATCATGTGATGCATCCAGACTTCTGCAGGTTGCCATGCCGACCTACCTGGGACACGGGCGTGCTTCCAGGTGATAGAGTTGCGAGCAACGTGAGTGATGTTTGGGTGAAAAACCCCTGGGACAAAACCATTGCCTAGTATGGCCTGCATCCCTGGCCCAACCTTCTCCAACAGAGTCACATCAAACAGATCTGTCCAGGGTGAGGTGTCATGATGGGCCAACTCCGTCCTGATAAACACCAGCCTCGGTCCCCTGATCTGTAACAGTACAATAGATCATATGGTAGGTTGCGCTATTTGAAAAAGGTCCTGATGGGTTTCATTGACGATGGAAAACACTATCACATGGTACCACAAATGTAAAAACCCATTCGCATTAGTAAAATCTAAATATTTTTTATATTTGTATACTTATCCTGCATTTCTCCTTAATGCATTCACTGCTTACCTTACGACAATAGAAGGGACAGCATAATTTTGCTGACCACCGCCGCTGTCCTGTGACCTTGATGACCTGGGCGGACTGTAACTGATGTGAAATGGCCAGAATTTAACGCTTCCAACTCCAAGTTGTTTATGTTCCACTTTCAATGAGCGCTTTACCATAGCCCTGAGGTTGTCTGGCTTTGCAGGTGAGCACCCCACCCCTGAAGGGAGGTGTAGATTCGGGGATAACCCGGATAAAGAGACTCCTCCTATGACATTCGACTCCACCATCCACCAATTGAGGTAAGGCCTTAGTTGAACCGGTAGAGTGATGGCCTTGAGTGGATCCTGACGCCTGATGTAAGGGTTCAGGAATTGTTGAATTGGGCGTTGTTGTAATCGGCCTCTGCTGGTTAGATCCTGGGCTGAGTTGAGTAACCCTAGCAACACTTGCCAGTGGTGAAGTGTTCGTGGTTGATGAAGAGCAGGTGACGGGAGGCGTAAAAGCTTGTGCCATCTGTCCCTGATAGGAGATCACGGTCTGTTTGGAACAGGCCTCCTATGAACTGGAGTCAATAGGATGGAGTTAACTCCGACTTTGCCTTGTTGATTATCCATCCCAGTTGATACAGTAGCCGTCTGGTGAAAACCTGGTGGTGTACAAATGTCTGCGTGTGTTGATGACATGGGAGACAGTCGTCTATGTATGACTCGAACCAAATGTGTAGATGCACAACGATGGGCTTCATTACTCGTGTAAATGGCCACGGGGCCACTGAAATGCCGAATGGGAGTACTGCCCATTGGTAGTGAACCCAGTTGAACTGGAATCTGAGGAACCTGCGGTCGGAGGGATGGATAGGTATATGCAGATAGGCATCCTGCAGGTTGAGACTGATCAAGGAATCAAAACGCCTTTATGCTGGTTCTGAGTAGTCTCAACGTGGTGAGGCGGAAGAGGGGTGGATGCTTCAGGTAACGCTTGTTGAACACAGAGATATTGTGTATAATTCTCATCTTGTCCGAGTCCTCCTTGGGTACCAGGAAGATGTGGGAATAAAAAGCCTGTGTGTACAATCTCTACGGGTCTCTTTCCCAACAGAATGTCTTTGTTGCTCTTTAATAGCAGATGTTGCTTTCTTGGATAAATCCAAGGAAGTTATGTTGGCCTTTAATAGCAGACGTTGCTTTCTTAGATAATTCCAAGGAAGTGGAGCCGTGGTCGACAGTGGAAGTACCTCTTTGTCTAGTTGGTAACCGTGACGTAGTATGTTGAGAATGTAATTGTCCTTGAGGATGCTCCAGTTCTTCCCAAACCGTTTCTGTCTCCCGCCTAAGGGGGTATCCACAAGTGGGACGACTGTCCAACATCTCAGTGTTTACCCCTCTTATCACCTCCCCTATCGTGGTATTTACCATGCCGGGGCTGATAAGTACCTTGAGGTTTCCCTCTGCCACGCTCTTTCCTACAAAAGGAATCCTGTGCCTGGCCTTCCTTGAGAGACTCGCGTCTAGGCCTATAATTGCCTGACTTGCCCGAATGCTGGGATAAACTTTGAGAAACATGCTTCAAAGCCTTGAGCGCCGTCTCATTCCGAGCATAACTGGAAACTTTGGCCTGCGTGTCTGTAATCTGTTCATTGAACTTGAGTCCCAAGTACATAGGGCTAGATAGCCAAGCCTACGTGTAACAGTTATTTCTGCCCAACGCAGCTTTATGGTGAATTCTCATATGGTCAATTTGACGCTGTTGAAAATCGACTATAGTTTGGAGATGATCATGTCGGTTAAGGCTATCCCCTGACAGATCCTGCTCTACTACACGTGTTGACGATGCTAGTGCTGATAAAGATTTTAATACCCATTGAATTCCTGTTTCTATAAACGCAACTCTGGTATGCTGAACCTTAAGTGTATGTTTTGCATCCAATCAGAGTTCTGGAACTGTGTTGACGCCTGAGTGTGCATCTGCTGCGCTGGATATGTTGGCACAGCGCTAAGCTGATCATGCGTTGCCTGCGTAGCATTGTATGCTGAAAGCCCTTGGGCTGATGTCATTGTAGATGCACTTGGGTAGTAGGCAGGGGCTGCGCTCGGGTCAGGTATGAGAGGAAATGCTCATTGGTGTTGGTTGGATCGTGGCTTGGGTTTGCGCTCCCCCCATCATCGAGACACTGGCCCAGGCGTCGCAGATCTAGATGGCTCAGGCGGCTGGATATTAGGGTCAGTAATGGTTTTGAACAAATCCTTTGGATTTGATGTTTTCGACCAAGAGTGCACTTCTGCAGTGACAGTTACGGCCATCATATTACCTACACAAGATAACGGTTGTGTGTTAATGACCGAACCATGTCCCTCGCTGTTCAGTGATTGTGACATATTTATCGCCTCACGACGGGATTGCTGCACAATATGTTTGTGAGCGTCCTGCCTATAAGTTATAAAACTCGTTGGAAAGAGATTTACGCAAAAAAAACACATTTAGAGTTTGGCGCACAAATTTCTGTGCATGCCAGACAACATGGATGAGGATCCTTGTAAGATTTTTTTCCCCACAACAATTAGTTCAATGCGAAGCATAAGTTAAGCAAATAAAGACTTTTTGATGAAGAGGGACTGGAAGACTGCCGTAGAATTGAAATAATCCATCGGCAAAAATATTGTACCGAGTTGAATGATTTGTATATACGCAACTCAATGTAACGCCAAAGCTACTAGTATTTAAGAACACATAAATATGTTATACATATGTAGCTGAGAATTGTAAACAATAAGACAACCTTGGCAGGCAAACAATTGTGACACAAATTGAATATGGCGGACAATAAGTAATGTATAAGGAATACATCACCAATCGCAGATCAATTTTAGAATTATAGCCAAAAACTGAAGGTCTAAATTAATCCAATTTGACAAGCTCTGCTTGGACACGTACTTGCTGTAGCGCGACAGGCAGTGATGTTATGAAGGTGACTTGTCATCAAGGTCACATGACAGAGGCAATGGTCCATATAAAAGTGGGATTTGAATCAACAACATCTTTAATTCTTCTCCCAAGACCATTCTTGTTGTCGTTAGGTAAGCAGTGAATGCATTGAGGAGTGATGCAGGATAAGTAAACAATTTGACATTTGGGTATTTTCTACAAAATAAACTATTCATTTTTTTCACCACTCACCAAAAAACAAACTATTCATTTTGTGTATATTTCTGAAAAAAACATTGATTTAAAAAAGAAATCAAATGGTGCTCCCCACATGCACTAACCCTTCTTCCAACTGACTAAATGCCCTAAACTTTCTTTATAGTGACTATATAATTATAACCATCCCAATCAGGACCCTCTTTCAGTTCAAGTGCAAGCTGGTAACAACGTGGTCCAAGCTTCAAAGATCAAGTTGAATAAATTGAAACAGCATTCAATACAAGTAGATGTTAGAAAACAAGCTGAGATGTTGTACTCACTTCAAGTGTGTGTCGGACAGTAATATTGGGCACAGAGATTGTATCATTCTGAGAATTGAAGTGTATATCATACTGTATCCCGTTAGCTTGTGGCACACCAACAAGTTGTCCTGCAGCACTGATGGATGAGGCTGACACCAGCAGGGCTCTCTGGAAACAGTACAATACACACGGATCTGTTACCATGGTTACAGGACAACACCATTGTCAGGTCTGTCACCATGGTCAGGGGGAACAAGACAACTCTGTGTCCAGGGTTCATTGAAACTTCCTACACTATTAGCTGGACAAACGTCCATGACTTTTCTATGTCAGGGTAGGCTATTATGCCAGCTTTCCATGATAATATAGCAATGAAAATCAAATTGAAATATCAACATTGGGATGTGTGAAATCACGATAACATGGAGGTGAGGTGAAATGGGGTTTAACGTCGCGTCCAAGATTATTGCACTTATATAGCGACGTGCATGTACGTGTATGTGTTTGTGTGGCTGCTTGTACTAGTCCGGACTGATGCCGATTTATAGTGCTAGCTCACTGAGATACCAGAAAGGCTCCAGAAACATTGGTATCAAGTACAATGTATCATATTTCCATGACTTCTCCATAACATTGTAACGATAACATATTTTCCACAACTATTCTAGGCCTCGGAAACTCAAACTAAAATTCCAATACTTTTCCAGGATTCTGACAGTCAACAGAACTCGCCACTTCAAGTAAACATAATTTTTTATTCAGGGGCATCCATTAATATAACTTATACACATCATTCTAATCACCTGCACAAATTACCATAACACCACATAGGTACCACACATAACAATACTATACTTATAACTGACAATAACATTTATCTGATCCCCGTGTAAGTATAGGTTAGCACCCTGCTCAAGGCTGGAATCCTGCGGAGAGGGGTGTTGCCAACCCACTTATATCACGTCAGCTATGAACAAGATGCACTTTATGTGATCATGCAAAACCAAGGCCAACACCCTTCTCGTCAGAACCAAATCATCCAACCTCAGCACATCTCATGTGCAGTATCATTACAAAGAATAACAACCCACTGAAACAATGGACTCATATGCAGACCTTTATAGTGCTAGTGTATGGTGGTATGGTAAAGTTTTAGTATGACGGTAAATGTAATGAAGGGGAATAAGAGCACTGTTGATGAAAATAGGGAGCAGTATGGATGGCGCCGATGGGACAGGATGCACGCAATTAGTGTCATTGCAGCCCTCCACCATGGCAAGGCAGACAGGGATAACCATGGGAACTTTGTACTCCTTCCCCCTGAAAACAGCAGGCAGGAAGATTTGGACTGCCGCTGTAGAGGCAGCAGCCAAGAACCCAGCCTTAGTTGTTATTGATGTGCTGTCCAGCCGGCGCCATGCCCACCGCACCAAGTTTATTGGATGAACAGTGATTTTTACAGCAGGTATGCTTTGCTGTGCAAAATGCAATATTTGTGAATGTGGCAGGTTACCTGACAAGTGATCAGTGAATTATGCTCAATATATCCTTGCCATTTATCAAATCCTTGCGAAACCTTGCGATTTCACAAAAATAGTGGCACTGCACTATAGCTCACCTGGACATGTAGTCAACAGCGATAAAGACAGACACTTTATCCTCTATGACCGATACTCAAGAACTGGGTGTATGTGTTATACTAAAGTGTGTGTTATGCATTTTCCTCAGGCAAAGGACTAAACTGACTGTAAAAGTCGAGTTTCCACCCTTGCTGAACTAGGTCGCAATTATGGAGTTCTATTTTGGCTGGACTAACAGGTCTATGCATAGTCCAATCAATATCGCATATTTACAAACCTTGCTGCCAGCATTGATATTTAAATATTTTCTGCATAAATACTCAGAACTAAAAGCTAACAAAAAATTCTATTGATCTGAACGTATGAAGTCATCAAAAGAAGGAACATTACATGCCCAAGTTCAGTTGCCTCAGTCTGCCATTTTCAAAGAAGATGTTTACAGAGCCCAAAATGAATTTTGAGAGACTTTAAAAGCAGAGGTCAAAGGCTTTTCAATGCCATGCAGAGCGTGAACAGTTGAGACTCTTTGGATTGGCAATGCTTCACATGTATATACAAGGATGTTATACTAAATTATAAAAAAAATATTTTTTTGCTTCCTTCAAACACAGAACGCTGGTTGTACTTGTAAGAATCTGAAAGCTGACGTAATGCTGTCTAATGGGTCTTGGTGTATGATACTACTGACTATAGCCACATCATGCAGGGTATTCAGTTCTACTTCAAACTGTTTCTGGGATATCATAGTTGTATTGATGATATTGAACTTTCATCAATATTTCAACTGTTAAATTTGGACTGAAATTATATATTTGTTTGACAATGACTTTACAGTTGATTGAAGGCTCCTGCTTAGTTTACACAAATGATCCTCCCAATAATCTATTTGCAGCATCCCCTGGAGGCTATAAGAGACAACCATCTGATGATTACCTCATGGATTGTGTGTTGCTCATGCATAAGATGAATGGAAGCTTGTATTGTTACAAGTATTGTTACATTGTAACTTTAAAGACAGTGGGATCCAGGCATGCTTACATTTCCTCCTAGGTCTGTAGCAGTGGGGACAGTGACATTGATGAATGTACACAGGTCAGAGAGTGGCGTCCCCTGGCCGTGGCAACCCTGTAGCAGCCAGCCAGCCACCAGCACTGCACACCAGTATATCATTGTGTCCATCTCACTGCAGAGGCTCTCACCATGTCACTGCAAATATATACAAACATATCACATGGCTGCAAGCTTCACACACATGATGTAGTGTCTCAGTCTTTTACCTGGACATCTGTATTAAGAAGCAGTTGATTGGAATTTACTGCTGGTTCTTATAAACCACAAATAAAAAAATACCCTGTGCAATGTCAGGAGGGTTGTTCTTTCCCCTCTAAGCTCCAGACTGGAGATAGCTGTTCATGTAAATATAAGTGTGCAAGAGCTGTGCTTAATATATATCTTGTTTCTATATGAAAGACGTCCAAACTTTATTATTGATGGTTAACCTGTACAGCCTTCACCTATCTGTATAAACGTTGGTGGCTGGATGTTTTCACCTTAAAAATAATACATCTATTGTCAAGCCTTGAAATATATGTTCCATGTACATTTGGCATGACCACAACTATATATTTTGTGATAGTAAACCACTTGTTGGCCACCGGTGGGATTAGCAGATCTGTCCTTCCATGTTGCTTTGTTACAGTATTTACAGTGTTATTGTTGACAGGGATCCAGAGCATTTTTCAGCATCTGGAGTGTGTACTCCTTATTACCGTATTCGACGTAATAAGCGCCCCGCTCTAATAAGCGCCCACGGCGATATTTGCTAATATATTGGCTAGTGAACAATCCCAATTAGCATCCCTTCCGATTGATCAATGTACACAAGGCCTATTTATTCGTGTATAATACGCACTCGTGTGTAATATGCACCCTCAATTATGGGCAATTAAATTCTGGAAAAATATATCTGTCGTATATAAACATTTCAGGCTGTCAGCACAAACCACAAAATTTATCTTTCAACTCTGTTTTTTTCCCCCAAATAATATTCTAATAAGAGCCCCCTATTTCTAATTTTGAGAGCGCCCTGGGCGCTTATTGCGTCGAATACGGTATTTTAACATATGAGTACTGGCAAAACTAAAGAGTATGGTTAGATTACTGAATGGAATTTTATGGATTAACATGATTAAATTTGTATTTTATTTTAGAAGAGTTCATGGTCTCAGTCTTGTGTAAACAGGTCAAGTATTATGAGCAAATTTGAGATAAAATATCACTTGACATGATGATTTACCGTTTAAATTGTATTTCCAGTTCTACTTGGCAATGTTTCATGTGAAGAGATTATGATTATTGGGTGTATTTTCTCGTAAACTAAGCTTGAAACAGCACTCAGCAACACACACATTTTCTCTCAATTTACCGGTGACACCGTTAAAATATTACCCAATAGCATAACTTTACAGAATTTTCAGAAGAATTGTACCTGAAACTATTATTTTATCAGGATAATATATTCCAATATCATGTTATTTTAGTTGCAGCTTTACTATATAATTAAATAATTCAAATAATAATAATCATAAGCATAGCATTAACTTTGGTGCAGCTGATCGCTATTGCCAGATATTTTTTAAATATGAACAATATAACAAGTCACTGTCGAGGCTCCCTAGCTCGCCCGAAAAACTCTATATTGACGACTCAAAGTATGGCATGATATAATTATGTATCCATTCTCTGTCAACTAAAGTTTGTTTCAAGACGTCAATAACTGTAATCTGGACGTGGTTGCTGTAAATCACATTGAGTTATGTGATCACTCCTCACACGATTTCGCAAAATTAATGTAAACAATACTTAATTAAATTTTGAATTAATAGGTTACCAACGTTAGTCAAGATATACAGTGAATACTTTGTGTAACCAGACAGTGTTATTACATGATTAATTTGTGTACTTCTGTACAGATTTGTTGACATGGTATTTCCAGTGTTACGTGCACACAGTAATATCTTTGCGTTGGGGAAAAAAACCCATCAAAACTCATTATGGCGTGTATAATTGGCACTCCCTTTATACAGCTGTGTTTTAGAAAAATAAAGTGTGCACTATACTCAAGAAAATGGGCTGCTTGAAATCAGAGTATAACTTTTGCGAAATATGTATAGAAATGAATGTTAGACCGTACATGTATGCTGTGATGCGTACCTGATACATTATCCCCCACCTTATTGTACATATTTTCATCCGTACATACGTTGATACGGCCTTTTTTTGGAGTCCTGATTGATGTCTGAATTCCACACTTTTAAACATGAAATATATTTTAATTACATATCTATCAATGTGTAAGTCATATTATCACTGATTAGGCTATATATATATATGCATTTAGGTAGCTATAGGTGATAGTACTTGAAATGTGAAAGTCTTTTGCAGTGTGTGAAGTTCCACATCCTGAAACCGGTCTGTGCGCCCGACTTGGCTAATTGTGACTGCAAAATGTCCAATTTGAAATAGCGCAAACCGGACATTTCAAAATTTGCCAACAGGACATTTGCAAAAAAGTATTAGCAGGACATTACAACCCGAGACTGGATATCATAACAAAGGATATAAAATAAAGAGGTGCAGCCAGACTGACATGTGTTTTTGTTGTTGGCTAGTGTATTTATGTACACACGACTTTCAAGGGTGAGACGCTGTCAGTCGACATCAATCTCCACAGGTAATGAGAAAATATAATATCACACACACACACATATATATACAGTATTACACACAAATACATATACCTACATACACTCACATATACATATACACATGTATGCATATGATAAATTTATTGTTTTTATATATTTTTGGTAAACAATGGTACAAATGGGAAGGAGATTTGATATATTTATATAATAACACAGTAGTTAATACACTAGTAGACATCTTAAATTTATGTGAAGGGCGTGTAATAAAGAATATACCTAAGCTGTTATAATAACATTGAATTCTATTGTTTTACATCAAAAACAAAGTTATAACCAATACCAAAACTACATGTAATAGAAAAAAAACACAAAAAAAACAAAATAAAAAATAAAAATAAAAATATGACTTTTTGTATTGAAACAACCATGTATTAAACGTGCAAAATCAAGATAGTTTGGAAGTAGCTATGAAATAAATCTTTTGCTACATTAGATACAATTTAAAATCTGTTTGTTTCTACAATGAATTGATGGACATATTTAAAAATTAGTTATTTTGTTCTTCGGATAGATTTTTGTTACCACTAAGAATTGTTTCTAAATTTGTCTGAGTCCCTATATTCCTAATGTTGATAAACATGATAAACAAATATTGACTTATTAAAGAATATTTTTTACATTCAAGAAAATAGTGAAAAGCATTTTCACATGGGGAACCGCAAAGGCAAGAAATAGTGTCTGACAAATTAACCCTAAATAAATCATTATTTAGATTGCTACATCTATGTCTAAGTCTTGTGTGGATAATATTAATTTGACGTTTTCCATAACTGAAATAATATGGAGATTTAATAACATTTTTGTGAATTCCATTTTTTTAAAGAGTCTATTATAAATGATTTCTGAAATGTACTTGTTCTGGCAAAAAGTACATAATTGAAACATGTGCCGTCCATTTGGTATCTTGAGATAACATGACCCCAGATGTTTGTGAGTTTCTACATGTTCAATGGCACTGTAGGCATGACAAATACATGTAGTTGGATAATCCTGAACCTGTTTGTGACTAAAAAGCATGTATTTTGTCTTAGTTGGATTAAAGTTTACAAGCCATGTGCTTGCCCACTGATGGAGAGAGAGAAGGTCTTGATATAGTCTGTCTTCAATTACGACCATATCAATAGATGAAGTTCCTATACATGTATCGTCGGCGAATAAGCTAGTAATATTTTGAAGCTGATCAGTAATATCATTTATGTAAACTAGAAATAGGAACGGCCCCAGTACAGACCCTGTGGGACCCCAGCTTTAGTGTATCACTTACTTGATAAACTACCATTAATAAATACTCTCTGGCAACGAGCTGACAGATAACTACGACACCAAGCTAATAATTTACCAGTTATACCACATTGTTGAAGTTTATGCAATATACCTTTGTGCCATACCCTGTCAAATGCCTAAGAAATATCAGAGAATATCATACAAAAATATTTATGATCATCAAGCGAATTACAAATATGATGGTAAATTTCAATTACATTGTAGTTGATATGTAGTACAATTGTTTGGCATGAATCCCGATTGATATTTGGAAAGTAGTTTATTCTCCAGAAAGTAATTATACATTCTTTTAAAAATAAGTCTTTCAAATAATTTCCCAAGACAAGATAACAGTGAAGTAGGCCTGTAGTTGGAAGGGTGGGATTTATCTCCCTTTTCGTACAAAGGCATTACATTAGCAAGTTTCCACTGTGATGGGAATGTGCTTTGTTCAAGAGATGAATTAAATAACAAGCGTAAAGGATTGGCTTTGAATAGGGATATATTTTTTAGTAATCTATGATTCAGACTGTCTGGACCGCTTGCTTTATTTACTGGTAGGGATCTGTTATTTCTTGATCTTCTATAATGGGGTAATCCTATTCGTGATCACATAGTTTAACCTTCATCAGCAACATTGGAAACTGATGTAAAATAATCATTGAGCTTTATCAAAATCAGAAAATGCTTCAGGTACTGTGTTATAAGTGACCGGAGGTGGGATCACGGTGCTGGCGTCTGACTCTTTGATCAAGTGACATAGAAGTTTTCAATAATTAGAACTATTTTCTTTGATTTGTGTAGATAATAATTCATCTAAGTTAAGAAAGGTTTTCCTGTGCAGCTTTCTTCAAACTATTTACTATATTTCTTTGTTTTCTATATTTAGATAAATTGCGTTCATTGCATGTTCATCGGGATATTTTCCCATCTCTTATTCTTATTTCTCTCTGTAGTTCACTATCAAACCATGGTTTATCTGTTGTATCTGTATTTATTGTGACAGCACGGCTTGGTACGCATAAGCTTATATAGTTTTTAAATGTGGACAGAAAAATATCACATATTACATTAATAGACTCGCAGCTATTAAACATGTGCCTCCAAATAGTTGATTCAATCAATTCATTTAACTTAGCATAGTCACCATTTTTATAAATCAGACCTTCTCTTATA